AAGATTATTAAGCTTTTTCTATAACTTATGTATGGTTAAAAGCAAACTTCATATTTATTCTTCAATTTATACACCATTCTAGGTGTTCTTAAGAGAGATGAACACGATTTACTTTTTTTTATTCATTGAACATAATCTGTTGTTATTACTAAACAGGTTCAAAATTCATCGCTGTTGCCATTTATATACGATTCATCTTCTATATTATACAGTATCTATGATTATAACTGAAAATTATTACGTTTATTATTATTACTATCGACTATATCAGATTTTTTTGGTATTTTAAATCTATAAATTGTGTTGAATAGTCTTGGATCATTTGATTTATTTTCCTTTTGTACAAAATGGTTGGGCAACAATGTAGGATGCAAAAAACTTGTGTATCATTTCAAGTTGTCAGATTTCACTGCGTGGCATAGTGAAACAGACAACCAACAAAATGGAAAGTCTAATCATAATAATTCGTTATTATATGTGAAAATTAAGTCTGAAATAATCTGAGTGATTGAAATTCAAAATAATTCCGACTTTTCGTCCAGCAAACTTGTTTGGACTTCTTCAGGGTAATAATCAAAATCACCAAAGAAGTATATAACGTTTTAACAATCAAATATATACTGTGTCAATCCAATCATATTTGGGTGTTGATTTTGGTAATTAGAATAACATGAGTCAGTTAAATGCGAATCATCTGAAAAGTTCACGATGTGAAAATAAATGACCAAACGAATAGTGTGTGTTTATGTGTATAAGATTGGGTTATTAATGATTGATACTTGGTGTTACTGTTCTTATATGAAGGAAAAAATAAAAGTTGAAAAATCGTTTCTGAATCATTGATATGTATGTAAAATGAGATTAATCAAATGCATGATTGTATTGCCAAAAATAACTCACATTAATTTCAGTCAAGATAACAATGCATGTGAAATAAACAGGTTGAATAAAGAAAGGGTCCGATTACTTGTCAACGAATATTTGCCAAATAGTTGCTCACTGAGTATCATCCTTTCGGTTCAGGCTGTTCTTGTTTGCCCATATATACAGCGCTTCTGCTGTCAATCCTTCTTTATGAGTGTTGAAACATTTCTGAAGTATTTTAGTCTCTTCGAAATTAATCTTGTGCTCTGTTTCCAACGCATGTAACATTATCGCAGACTTATTCTCAAGTTTCTTTAGGTTAACCGAGGATTTGAGGACATTTTTCAAACACTATTTAGGTTCCTTTAACCTTACATTCAATCGCCTAGATGTTTCTCCCACATAAGCTGTATTACAATCATGACAGTTGGTCTCATAAACAATATTTTGTGTTGTAAACAAACACGTTCAGATTATCATCTCTAAAAAGAGTAAAGTATATAGGTTCTTTATTATACAAAAAGATTCTAACTTGCTGGGATTTTATAAATAGATTACAAATTTCCACGTTTTTATACCTATCGTCTTTCAAGTCAATCAAAATCTAGTAACTTAGGTTTAAATAAAACATAAAATTATCAATTTGATATATTTTCAGAATAATTGAATATTTCAGTAATGAATTGATAAAAAGTATGTTTATATTTATGTGTGTGACAACAATGGAGCTAAAAGTGTGGTGTGTGTTACTTATATTGATATAATCAGTGTATGATGTTAGTCGTGAACAGAAGGTCTGGCAGCAGAGAGACAAGAGGATCGAACAGTAAAGAATGGAAACAGGATGCAATTTGTATGAAAATGCAAGAATAATGAAGTCTGAGTCATTTTGGAGACAATTAATAGGCATTTTGCAAATGAAGCATTTACTTTATGATTATTAGATTTTATTAACAAGTTCTGTAATTTTGTGTTCAATACCTTTGATTGTCCCCACCCGCGTTCTGTTCACTACAAAAGAACTGGCTAGAATTAGAAGAAAACAAACATCTGATTTCATGTAATTTGGCAATCATGAATATTGCTGTCTGATATTTTACTCAGCTGAATAATTTTTTTAATTATTATTAAAAGGTTGTTTCAATTTATTTTAGTTTATTTCACTAGTCTTTCCTTTTCAATGTAGATTGAAATGACTACCATTATTTAAAGTAATATTTCCATTGTATTTATTCTATTAAATTTCGATAGATCAATTAGAAGATGAAGTTGATCTGAAAACTGTAATGTATTTTAGCTATACATTTCGAACAATTTGATCACACATACGTGTCAGGGCATTTTTTTCTATATGAAAATCAATAACAATCAATTATTCAAATAAAAGTTTAAGTAAACAAGGGGTAACATAAAGGAGAGAAACACTTTACATCTTATAGAAAGAATAAGAAATTGTCACATTATCCTAGGCCATAAAATTGAGGTGTGGGTTACTTATATCCACATGAGTAGTATATAACAGTAGTCAGGCATAGAATGTATTTCAGTAGAAGGTCGATAAGAAAAGAACGGGAACGGAAAGCAATTTGTATGAAAATGCATGAACAATGAAATCTTAGGCAATGGACTGATATTTACAAAAGGAACAGTCAAGTTTGAGACGACGGATTGATATTTTGCAAATAATTGATTTACTACATGGTTCTCAAATTTTTGTGAAATGCTCTGTAATTTCGTTATCGAGTACATCATCCTATTGTCCCCACTCGTATTCTTGTTCACTACAAAATGACTAATATTCTATTAAATTAAGTAAAGCATTAATTATAGATTAATAATATTAGGATAATTATTTTTTTCTAGAAATTATTATAAATTATTCGTCTTTCTCGTGATTATTATTGTAACCTATCTAAATTTTAAATGATAAGTTATCATTAATTTATTAGTCTTTGAATTATTATGTTTATGAAGGAAAAAGTCAAAAGATAGATTTTAATCAAAGTAAGGTTTTTGTGGATACTATAGTAATTTACTGGTTGGATTCATGAGTCAATTGAAGCTTGACCACTATGGAAAACTGAGTCTGTTGTGAGATAGTAACTCACTAATAACAATAATGGACAGGGGCGCAGCTTCGTAGATTGGTTGAAGTTAGACATTAACACCATCAGATAAAAGCTTAGTGATAAAGTGCTTAAGCACTGGCGCGCGAGACTGATAAGTTTTGGGTTTAAATCTTGAGAGGCGGGATCATGGATGCACACTTATGAGGAGTCCAATACTAGGACGCAACGGCCGTTCAGTGCTTCTAGGTTTTCCATGGTGGTCTAACTTCGATCGACTCATGAATTCAACTAGTAAATTAAAGAATAGATCTGTTGTACTTTTTCTTAATAATATATGAAGGTTTGTACAGCATTTTTAGATGAGAATCTAGTCTCCAAGGGTTTATTGTATATATGAATTATATCAGCTGATATCCTTATAATGAAACTTTCAGAAAATGACTGTTAAATTTAATTATAAAGAATGCTGATATAAGCTATTTTTAAATTTTCATAAAAGATCTGTCCTTTAAGTATAGTTAATATTCGAAATTAAATTTTTATTGATTTTTCTTGGCATATGTATAGTAGTAGCAGGTTTAATTGCACTTTGAATTATGACTGGCGGTAAATTCCTGGTTATGCTTTTAATCAAATTTATGACTTGTCACCTACATATACCTCCATCTCAATGTTAGTGTTCACACTGGTATTTGAACCAAGTACTTACTACTTCAAATGTCATCGTGTTTTCTCCATTAAAACTATCTTATTTAGTAATTCACTAACACTTGTTCAATGTGTATAACACTTCGTTTTCGTGAGAATTTATGCTTTATCATTGTTGATATGTATTCCAACTAGGCAGAGAAATGAATATTACAAAATAAATACCATGTAATTATCATAATCTAAAGAACAATTCATATTCATAATTAAGTCTTATCAAACTTATTGTTGAAACACTAACAAACCCAACATGTTATATTGCTATATTAAACAAGAAGATTGTTCACAACATATCCTTGACTGTCTTTGGTTACTTAAGAAAAATTCTTTGAATTCAATAAAACATTTAATCTAGAATATCAGTCAACATACTGAATTTTGCTTGTTATACTAAACCGTTATTTCAGTTATATTTAAGTGATAATCAGTTTTCACGAAGATATCTTTCTAAATATTCACTTTAATATGAAAAGCGATTAAACGATCCAATGTATCCAATCATCATAATAATCTGTTACTATTGAGAAATGAAATAGAATAATGTTGTTCGAATGATATGGTATTCCTATTGGTTTCACATCCAATGTCAACAATCTTTAATGCCCAAAATATCAATTGAGTAGATTAGAATAAGGATTGAAATGTGCAATATTTTCTCTCGATATTTAAAATGGGCATGTAAAATTGGCTATAAAGCGATATAGGGAGCTATATTTCCAATGACAAATAAAACTGTTTACGAGTCATGCTTTTTTATTGTTATCCAGTTAAATAAACCATTTATTTATCATAATTCATTAATATTTGCTTATTACTAGACTATACGACTCTCAGATACTGTACTATTTATCTTAGTTTTTTCAATGTAGCAGATATAACCTGATGAACTATAGAATTATTCGCTTAATATCAACATTTATCACCTTGTAAATTCAAGATAAAATTGAAATGATCGTTTATTCAATTAAACAAAGTCAAATTTATTAAATCTATTTTATTCTATATTAAAAACAATACAATTTCTAATAATTAATCAACTTTATGCCTATGACGTTATAAGCCAAAAAAAAGAACGAAAACAATCATAAATCTTTTCAAATAGCCCATCATTTTGTTTATATGAATTGATGTGAAAAACTGCTTGAGACAATGAACATTATTTGCACAAGTTAATCAATGAAATGAAATGAAAATGAAAAAAAAACAAGAAAAAAGAACAAAAGAGTGTGTCTATTTTGTATTTACTTCTTCTTGACCCATCCTCAAGATCAAGTCACTAACCTACAATTTATGTGTCTACGTGTGTGTATGATTTTCTTTTATATCTTCAAAGTTAAAACAGGATTATCTGATTTGTTTTCATAACGATGGAGTATTTGCTAAATATTTATCTTGATATTCTGTCAATTCATTTACTCTATATAAATGTTCTTTATATTCATTGTTATAGTTTTTATAGTTATCTAGATTACGTGAAAATGGATTAAATCTTATTATAGGTATATGACGATGCAATGCATTGGAATTGAACCATGTTTCTTTACCTAAAATAAATAAGAGAATATGGGGGAAAAATATATTTTACAAGTACATTTATTTACTGAATGAATTATCTTGAGTTTTTTTATAGCTAGTAACTAATATACCATCTGATCAACCTCCAATTAAAAAAATCAACTCAATTACTCGGATATAAAGTTATTCTCATTATCACTAACACCAACGGAACATGTACCATAACTTAGCATAAATTGCTTGGTTTGTGGATAACTTTATAAAAATTTACTTCTCATTATAATTAATCATTTGTTTCGTCCATGCAATAGCTATAAAATTACGTGTGAAGAGAAATATTTGTTACTTCATTGTGTCGTGCTTCTACGCATGCCTTTTAAATAAGAGCCAACTGGCTTCACCAATCAGTTTGGTTGGAAAGGGCACCTGATTGGCCAGTAACTTAAAATATGGATTTCTATATTAGCCACTTCAAAAAGTAGCTTTATGATATGATTTGAGGGCGATTTTCATAATGGATTAATAAGGAGCGGAAAATCATTGAAGAATAGGTAGCACTAAAATAACAGTTTCTTCTATTTTATATGATTCAATAAACGGTAAGTGCCCAAGATCACACACAGGACAGAATTCAATACCTTCAATTCTCACAGTAGGTCTGATATTATTCAGTTACTCAGTCAGAGTTTGATAATTAAAATTCTTCAGTCTCTGTCAATTTTTGATATAAATTTGTCTCTTTCTAATATCATCAGAGGACAACGGATTCACTGAGTTTCAATAAAATCATTTTGCCATTAACACTGATTTGTCAACAAATCTCTGAAAATCCGTTTTATCCGTAATAATATGGTGAATATAAAATCAATTATTTGTGTTAACAAAGTTCATTGTTATCCCATAGCTAAACGTTAGATTGGTTTTATTCAAAATAACTATCAATTACGATTGAAATACAGTAAACACTTCGGTCTATTATCTGATTTGGTTAATTATTATTGTACAAGAGAAATAATAACAAGATTCCTCTTTTTTAAACATACACTAAAGTAGTAAATAATAAATGTTGGAAATATATTTCCGTATAAATAATACGTATTACCAGACCATAGTTGTTTTACTGAGAAAAAGGCCAGCTCATTTGTTAGAATCAGTATCGACTTTGTCTCAACTTCATTGGATTATATTTTCAGTTTATTAGTTAAATGTTTATTTATTACCACTTTTATAGTTAGTCAGAGATTTATTTCTTTACTTCTATCGGTAGTACTTGTTGTTGTGAAAGAGAACTATTTCATTGGTCTGTTTACCATCTGACAACCAGCTAGCGTATAATATAAACTTATCAGGTCTAAATTTCATTATTTTACCCATGAGTGCCTATATCGAATCCATCCGCAAAATTTTTTTTTAATAAATGTTTTTTTTTCAGGAAATCTACTTGGATATTTTTGTGCGTAATAACCAGGTACAGCTCTACCAAATGCCATCTTAATTGGTCCTGGAATATTTGTTGGCGGACGATGGTCTATTTCAATTCCAAGTAGAGAATTGTAAGATATACTTCGACTATCGTACTTTTCTATTCTTTCACCTGAATGGAAATTCAAGAAAAATTTATAAATACAAGAATGTGACGTAAAAAGATGTCTTAACTAAAATGGAAACATGGTGTTTCATTAAAATTCATTTGGTAAGAAACATATATAGGAATAAATTCTAACACATTAACTTCTATCAACTAATCCCATTCATTCAATTAACTAAATAAGTTTTATCATAATTATATGACATTCTGATTACAATGTATATTTAAATACTTATGTTCATGTTAATGTCTTCTGACCAACGGAAAGTGTTCTTACAGAAAATTAAACAAAAATAGCTTAATTTTGTAAACAATAAGTTCGGTAATAACTGGGGTTTTTTTTCGGTTTTACTTATATTTGTTGTATTCTTCTAAACTCGTTACCGGCTTAAATCGATGGTGTTGAAACATTTTCAAAAACCTGCTTGACTTAATTAATGCCAATAAATATCAATTGATGACAATTTATTTATCAATGCTACTTTTAAAGTTGATTTTCCTGTTTGAAACATTTGAGCGTTCCTCCTAATCATAGTATCGAGATGAAATTTTACATAAACTATCTCTTGGACAAGCCATCAACATTCATTAAAGATTGAGGCGGTTTAAAATTATGTATATAATACTTAGACTGGTTCCAAAAAAATTCTTCTTAACAGTTGCTTATTTAGTGAATTTGAATATTTCGAAAAGTAGGTAATGATCTGAACTAAAAGTTAAGAGTTTTATTCGAACGCATGGATTTAATAAATCTTTTACATTGAATTATAGAATCCTGTCTGGGCAGCATGATTGATGAACACGGTGGATCTGATGCAGATGTGAAGGCGCCGATCGGCAAAGCAAGAGCAGCATATTTACAATTGAAGAACATCTGGAACTCAAAACAACTGTCAACCAACACCAAGGTCAGAATTTTCAATACAAATGTCAAGACAGTTTAACTGTATGAGACGAAAACCTGGAGAACTACGAAAACCATCATCCAGAAGATACAAGTGTTTATTAACGGTTGTCCACGCAAAATACTTCGGATCCGTTGGCCAAACACTATCAGCAACAACCTATTGTGGTAGAGAACAAACCAGATCCTAGCGGAGGAAGAAATCAGGAAGAAGCGCTGGAAGTGGATAGGACACACATTGAGGAAAGCACCCAACTGCGTCACAAGGCAAGCACTCCCATGAAATCCTCAAGGCCAAAGGAAAAGAGGAAGATCAAAGAACACATTACGTCTGAAAATGGAGACAGACATGAGAAAAATGAACAAAAATTGGATAGAACTGGAAAGGAGGGGTCAGGACAGAGTGGGTTGGAGAATGCAAGTCGGCGGTTTATGCTCCACTGGGAATAACAGGCGTAAGTAAGTAAGTATAGAATTCTGTAAAGTATAAAGAAGTTGATTGAAATAATGTAAATGAAATTGAAAGATCTAGTTCCTTCAGGATCCTGGATCCCATGTTCACCATTGGTTTGTAATCAGGGTTTTGCAACTCCCTGTGTCCACCAAACCAGTTAAAGTGCCGGACACTTGTTTGTCGTCCTCTCGATTTTGTAAACAACACCCGTTATTGTAGAATGCAGTGAGTAGGACTTCCCTTGCAGTGGTTGTATGTACAAGGCCATGCGAGAGAATTTTGAGTGGAAGAGCTGACTCTCCTCACTCTCGGCTATACCAGGGCATTTGGGGGTGTTTACTTTTAAACAGATCTATTTTTTTATAGGATTATGGTATCATATATTAATATTTCAGTATAATTTTCGGTTTACTTCATAAGAAGTTATATTTTAGTGAATCAATGATTAGCTAAAAATTCTTTCGACAATAATTTTTAATAATTACTTACCTTTAATATTCCGTGGCCAAGGAAAGAATGCTCCTGGACGTGAACTGTTATAATTTGAAACAGGGTAACTCGGCGAAATTTCACTAACAGTTTGTAAATCACTTAAATTTTCATTTAAGTTATATTTTTCCGGACTATTAGTAGAAATCTCTCTTGACAAATAATTATGATAATGTGAAACATTTTCATGAGGATCTACTGTGCCACATTCCTAAAATGAAAATTCTATGAACTAACATTTTATTTATATCAGTTATATATAAGAAATACTGCAAATAATAATTTTGTGCACATTAATTCTAAAGTAATCAATGCATTGGAAGAATCCTTTGAAATAAGTTCATCTTCAGAGCTCTACAATACCGCATATATTCAATTAATTATAGGTTTATAAAGATTTTTTTGGTTAAAAATTAATTGTTTGTAACCTAAGATTTGAATTAGTATTTATTTATCAATGAAGAGAGTTTACGAAATGTGAGAATTATATGATCGTTAATGTGAACAGATCTATTTGTTGATCTGCCTATCAGTCGTTTAGTCATAAACAACATGCTACATTGAAGAGGTGTTTATAACTTCTAGTCTGAGCCATGTTGGGAGATGCAGACTACTTGGTTGAGGTCCGTGTGACAATCGTAACCAATGACTGGAGATTCTTGGTGACATGGCTCAGGATCGATCACAATGGCGTTGGTGTATACACTCTCTGTCTTCCCTTAAACTAAGAGATTAAAATAGCTTAATATCTTTCTTTCTACGAACTAAATCCTTACTGCAATGTTTCTTTTAAACATTACCATCTCTGAATTGACTACTTTTATGAATCCGGTGTTAATCTTGTTGTGTTAATGAGGTATGGCATCTTGGACCGATGCATATATGTGCCTGGTCCTACGTTGTAGCTGACTGACTGAGAGGTGTACATGGGAATAAATTTCATATCACTAACGATTGTTTCATCATATTCTATAAATTTTTTCTTTAAATTATGCATACTTCATTAATTGACTGTGTATGAACTTCATTTAACGTAGAAACGTGAATCTATTTACATCTACTTTAGCCAGCATATATATGAATTGTATATCATAACTTGAAATGTTTTATGAATATTTTATCAGGAAAAATTTATTTTGCTTTATATACTCATTCTTTGTAATAATAAAGAAATAAATATAGTTTACATTCGATAATCTTAATCCAACAAAATTTCATACAGAAATATGAGAAGCAATAATACTTCAGATGCTGTAGTGAGTGTTAAAAGTTTAAAAACGTTATCTATGTAAATGACATGAAATAAAGTGCATTCAAATGTCACCAAAGTTTGGTACTCTCTATGTTAGTCAATTGGCAATCCTACCTGTGTTAATAAGTGTGATATCTTTCTCTCCGAATAAACCAAAGTAATAGATCACTTCAGATAATCCTTTTCTTTGGAATTTGTTTCTTATCTCTTGTTCATGAATTAAAGTAATTATGAACTATACTGGTATAAATATTCTTTATTATTCATTGTATAAAATTCAGAAAAAAAGCACTGAATAAATTATCAACTTCCAGTCATTCGTATTGTTTTGAATAGTTCGTTTCACTTTCGATATGATGAATATAATATTGATAGTCATATATATATATATATATAGGGGCTAGATCGAAGGTTCTGGGTTCGATCACCGCTTGTGAGGTAGTGGACATGTAATCTTTTGAGCCCCATACTGGGACTAAATGGCAGCTCAGTGCTTCTAGTTTTCTAATGATGTTCTACGTTAATCTGTTCATGATCTCAATGAAACTCAACAATCTCCACAATCCTATACTCACAATTTTTGAACATTCTCTAGTAGACATTCAACACTTTTAAACTAACGCTGTTGCTTTACCATCAGGCTTAAAGGATGAGACATACTGTTTAACGATTCTACAAAATTACATTTAATAAAGATAACGACTATTCATCAACCGTTCTGGAAAATGTGAACTTCAAGTCCGGTTAACCTGAATGCTTAAAATAGATTTATTTCGAGAAAACAATTATGTCTATTACGAGAGCCATCATAAATTGGCAGTATGTTATTGTTTGGACACGTTGCAAGAAGTATTAACGTGCGTTTAAAAACAGAATCATAATTTTGCATCCAATTTTCTATGTCCATTAATATAAAGATGTACATCTACATGAAAAACAAACCAGTTATAAAACATCATTTTTCAACACGATTATGGCAGGCGAAAGTAAGTAGTGTTTGAATCTCGTGTGTGGATATCAATGAAGCTGTTATGATTTACCCTACCGAAAATCGGTTTCTTCAGCTCAACGTTACTACACATCTTTTGAAAATCCTCTGTCTCCGTAACTATAACTACGAGGTGCCTTGATTCATGAAACGTACCTAGGCACGTTTTAATTAATAGATATAATTATATCATAGTCCTAAGTGTAAGGTTAGTTATTTGATCATCTGATTGTGAGTGGGCTTTCTATAAACAACTTCAACTATACACAATATGGTGTTAGACAGTTTTTTTGTGAAAGCTGGATGCTTTCTTAGTTCTTTGTGAGTAAGCTTCCGTGAGTATCTTGTGTCTTTTCAAGTGATCCAGTCGAAGGTGCAGACAACAATTCTTCCACTAGTTGGTTTCAAGAGTTGATTACCTGGTGGGAAGTCTTATTCGTCTTTGTCTCTTGATTGCGCTTACTGTGTCCTTCGGACTATTCCCACTTACTTGAAGAAAAATCCAGGGACATTAGGACTGAAGTCATTTCCTAGTCTTTAATGAGTCTGAGTTAAACCATCTACTGAGAAATAATATATGCTTTCTAAGACTAGTGAATGGTCACTTACTTGAAAGGAACCACAGATTTCTGTTGCGTCTATAATATGGGAAATATATACATCAATTGATCCATGAAACCCGTTCACTTTGTTGGGTAAACTTGATGCGTTTATAGGTTGACAGTTGATACTTCTTGTCTGAAGTCCGTGACTTGGATGGAACGTTATATAGATAATCGAATAAGTTCGTTCTTTTCAAATTTATTTCAATTGTGATACTTAGTCGGCTGCAGTCACCGCCGCTCTTCCAATATCGAAAATCTGACCAATCCAGCTACTTATTGAGTTCTAGCATGCTTCACACTTACAAAAACCACCAGAAGTGTTTTTTTATTCTGATTCTTTCAATTCAGTTTACAATCGTCCTCCTTTCACTAAAGGAAACTTACAAGGAATTACTTTAAGAGACTTCAATTGGTGTTCTTATTAAGTATGATGCCCCATGTCTCTTTCACATCTAGGAAAATGACTGCCTTACAAAACACTATCTCTTTAGCCCCAGAAATCCAAAGTATTAGAGCTTCGTTTGATTTAGATATGAAAATATTCTCGACTGTGAGCCAAGTAAATGTGGTGGCCTTGATCTAAAACATTTTCACTCACGATATTCGATATATCTTGACCTGTGTATTATGTGGGACGTCTATATTGTCAGTTGGATTAAAGATGACAGGATCATTGCAACGTTTGAACTGATTTTCCAGACTTCAGCTACGCTAGGATTTAGTATCGTTATTGAATTATGACTCTCTGTAAATGAAAACGTGTACTAACTTTTCTTGACAACCATTTTAAGGGTTGTAGGAAGATCGTGTATCAGCGAACAGAATGCTGCAATTGTTTCTCACTCACAGATTTTAGTTTTATCTTCTCAACAGTCGTATTGTTTTTCGAAATCCCTGTGATAAAGAATATAACCTCCATATAAATCGAAGACATCCATATGGTAAACGGTAGGATTTGATGTATTTTCTGACATATCTACCTTGAAGATGCTTACTTATCTGCTTGCTTACTTACTCACTTAATTGCTCCTGTTACCCACCGAGAAGAGCATAAGCCATTCATAAGCATTCTCCATAAAACATTGTCTCAGGCAGTCATTCCCAGTTGCTATTCACGCTTTGCATGTCTGATTCTAATTCTCGACGAAGTGTGTGATTTATCCCTCCAATTTTCCGTTTATCTTCAGGATTCCAAGTAAACACATGCCCCGTAGTGCAGTTTGACTAATTCCGCGACACATGCCTCGCCTGAAAGCTCTTTTTTCTCTCCCGCCGTAGGCCGTCGCTGATGGTTTTTGGTCAACAGACATTGAGTATATTGCGTGGATAATTGTTTAAAATGCCTTCATTTTTTATGATATATTGGAGATTCGTGAATATTTTTTCCATAAGATCTTAAGTAGAAGTCACACCTTGGTTTATACTGACTCGTCCTACGTGACAATCAGCTGAGAATAGAATAATATATGGAATGTGCAAATGAACGATCACCACGTCTTGAAGTACGAACCAAGTTATATTGAATAACTGTTCCCATGATCACCGACTTTTACCTTTTCTAAGCGTTATGTATTAAATGTAAATATTCTCAGAGTTTATATGTCCAGCTTCAAAGTATGTTTGATGACGTGCTCCCATATGAATTGTCAAACACCTCATGGTTATCGATTTTCAGATCTCCTTTTGTATGTAGATGAGGTATCCTTCATTTCAATCTGATGGCACTTGTTCTTCCTCATAAATCTTCCTAAATAGAACATGGAGCATGTTTTCAGTTGCTTCTACGTTTGACTTCAGTGCTTCAGTTGGTATTTTTTACGTTCTACTACGTTCGCGCCCTTCATTTGTCTGGTGACCATCCTGACTTCTTTGGTCGTTGGTAGAGTGAAATATATTGGAAGGTTTGTGTGTGCTGCTTCGAAGTTCGGTGGATTCAATGGAATCGGCCCATTCAAGAGTTACTCAATGTGTTCTACCCCTCTATTCCTCTGTTACTGAAATTCAGTGATTGACTTGCCTTCTTTGTCAGTGACTGGTCGCTCCAGTTTACCATATTTCTCTGAATTTCTTTGTTGTGTCATATAGTTTTTTTTATATTTCCTTCTATTGCAGCTTTTCCCATTGTCGTCGCTAGCTCTTCCACGTATCTCTGTTTGTCAGCTTTAATGATCCACTTCACTACCTTGTTTGCTTCTGTGTATTCAGCTTGTGCCTTCACTTTCTCTGTTATTGTTCGGCTGTTGATCATCGCTGTCTTCTCGTTCTTCCTCTCTTGAACCTTGTCCAGGGTTTCCATCGAGATCCATCCCTTGTGATGATACTTTTTTTATCCCTTTCCAGTTGTCCTTCACAGTGGTTTCTCCTTCATTGAGTAGATCCTGTAAGGCTCGGAACCTGTTGTTGAGAGTTATCTCAAATTCGTTGAGTTTGTCAGTATCTCGTAGGAAGGCTGTGTTGAACGTTTGAAATGCTGTTTCCCCGATTGTCTAATGCTTCTTTGGTTTCAGTTTTATCTTGGCTACCACCGGGTGGTGATCTGAAGCTATGTCGGCACCTCCCTGGGTTCTTACGTCTTCCATTGATCTTGTGAATGTTTTACTGATGCAAATATGATCTATCTGGTTCTCTGTGGTGTGGTCCGGTGGAATCCATGTAACTTTGTGCATGCGTTTGTATGGGAATATTGTTCCGCCAATAACCAATTTGTTGAATACACATAGATTTGCAAATCTCTCCCCATTCTCGTCCCTTTCTTCTAGTCCGTGTCGTCCCATAATATCTTCATAACCGTTGTTGTCCATTCCGACTTTGGCGTTTAGCTCTCCCAACAAAATTGTCAGGTCCTTTCGTGGGTACTTTACTGTGATCGATGGCAGCCTCTCGTAAAACTGATCTTTATCGTTGTCGTTGCTATCATTGGTGGGTGCATAACATTGGATAACATTGATTGTAATCCCTCTCTTTTTTTTGTTTTGAAGGACGGTTTGGTGATTCTGGATGTCCGAGCTTCCCATTCTATAAACGCTCTGTCTGCTTCTTTGGACGGCATCATAGCACCTCCCTGAGTGTGTCCAACAAGTTCCTTTTCTAAGACCGGAGTACAACAGTATCTTTCTAGGATATGAAATTGCGTACATTGTTTTTGGTGCTGCAAAGCGGGTTTTTTTTAAAGTGAATAATAAATTATTCAATCCAAAGCTTCTTGTTATCGCTATTTGTTTGTTGACACTACTCGTAACTTATGGCGTGAAATCACAATCAATTTCGGGTGTTGAATATCCATTATTTCATTGTGGCTGATTAAAAAATTGTAGTGACATAATATGAAGTGAAACAAGTGAGCGTAAGTCAAACATCCTCATTCCTTTGTTCTGTTGATCCTAGGTAGTTGGTTGTTGCTTGTCGTAGCTTTTTAGTTTTATATCCAGTTCTTCCTGTCGATATAACTTCTGGCTTTGTTACAACTATTTTAATACAGTTCAGACAGACAGACAATCAGTAGCTGTGGTTATTTGAGTAACACAACTAATAATCAACCTAGGCAACGTGATTAAGAGGAGAATTAGTAGCACTATACTACATTCGTCAAACCTGCCTTGTTTCATAATAATGGTTGATGATCAAAGCTGCCTTAATAATCTGTTTTAAAACTCAGGGGTTAGGTGAATGAAAAAGTTAAGGTCACATGGATGATAAGAGCTGAATGTAGATTTACCTTCATATCGATTTCAATTTTCTGTAATAATGTGGGCATTAGATTTTTCGGGTTGGCTGACGAAAGCTCACAAAACTTCATTACAAATCAATAATATATTTGTAATAATGCAATAAGGAGGAAATGGGGTTTTCTGACGTTTCGTGATCTAGTGTAAGACGCTTCTTCAGAGAATAAATAACCGAGTTAGAATTAATGGAAATTCGCTGAAACGTTCCATATAATGCTTAATCCTACTGCTCTCAACAGAAAAGAAAGCCTTACCATACATCTTACTTCGACTATCTAACCTAGCTACCTAATCTGATATTATTCACAATTCACACTATTACCTTACAAATTAAACTCTATCCTCTCTTACCATGAAGGCTACACATTTTCACCCTTAACAGTGCACACATACATGCACACAAATTTACAAACATTTCGCTTATGAATTACAAACAAATAATGGATGTGAAAATAAGGTTAATGATAGCAAAAATAGAGTAAAACAAATAAATAATAATAAAAATTAACAAAAAAATTGTTAGTTAAGTTATAACTGGCTGAAGATCACCTTGAATGAAATGACATGAAATTGATTTATTCGGACCTGTTTTTCGATCGATCACATAATATTCTTGTTGTTCCGTTGTGCTATCTAAACTAGGATTAATTTTGATTTGGTTGTTTATTCTCTAAAGAAGCGGCCTACACTAAGTCACGGAACGTCAGAAAATCCTATTTTTCTACTCATCCGGATATTACAAATAATTTTTTGATTATATCGATCTACTCAGTGCTCAATTTATTCGAAATTATCAAGTCAGATTTTGGTGAAGATACCTAACATGTTCATTACGTATTTCAACCACCAACTTTACAATACTTTCGGTTAATTTAGCGAATGCAGTTTTATGCGTTAAAGCTGAGATGTTACTCAACATCAAAGGTATTTCTTCTTTGTATCCGATCGTTTAAAATGTTTCCCTCCTCCTTCGTATACGTGGAAATATTTCCTAGTACATTATAATCTGTGATCTTTACCACCATTATTATGGATTCACTAACAGTTTTGCATTTTTTTTATTTCAGTTTGTGTTATCACAAACGGTTAAAACTCAAGAAAATGGGATGCAAAATTATGTTACTGTTTTTAAACGCACGTTAATACTTCTTGCAACGTGTCCAAACAATAACATACTGCCAATTTATGATGGCTCTCGTAATAGACATAATTGTTTTCTCGAAATAAATCTATTTTAAGCATTCAGGTTAACCGGACTTGAAGTTCACATTTTCCAGAACGGTTGATGAATAGTCGTTATCTTTATTAAATGTAATTTTGTAGAATCGTTAAACAGTATGTCTCATCCTTTAAGCCTGATGGTAAAGCAACAGCGTTAGTTTAAAAGTGTTGAATGTCTACTAGAGAATGTTCAAAAATTGTGAGTATAGGATTGTGGAGATTGTTGAGTTTCATTGAGATCATAAACAGATTAACGTAGAACATCATTAGAAAACTAGAAGCACTGAGCTGCCATTTAGTCCCAGTATGGTGCTCATATCCAGTTGATCACAACTGGGTTTTTTTCAATTTAATCTTTTTTTAACTTTTGTTTGAACATATTTCGACTCGAAGTTTTTAGTATCTTCATCAGCGATTGATAGAATGTAGGTTCATATTCATTTGATGTGCGCTTTACTAGTTCGCATTTCGAAATATTATTAATTTGCACGATATCGACCTTCAAAAGATATTCTAGAATCATCTCCATAAAAATAAAGCTTCCACGCACGAACAATCTCAGTATGCATTATTGCAAATTTATGGCTTCTATGTTCTCGAAGTTAGGTTAAATACAAAACACTGTTTAATAAATTACTACAAACATATCATGGCTAAATTTTCACCAGGTAAACACATTATTATTATTATTATTATTCACAAACATCTTATGGGTACATAAGTGTTGTGAAGAAACCATTTCGGGTTTCTTCAGAAAATGCAATAATACACAATTTTCAATAATGTTAGCATTATACTTGCCATATTTAAAAAATAAAATATTAAAAAAAAATTTTAGAATAATAATAGTAGAATATTAATAATAATAAATCGGGTCTGTGTAATTGAGAAGAATATTGAATTGAGTTTAAAGAAGGAAATGGAGAAAATAAGGGAATAGAAATAAAGGAGACGCGAAAGAAGCAAACAGTCTAATAGGCGTGTTTATGAACAGAGAAGAAGAAAAAACGACCATGTGTGTATCGTTAAATTAGTAACAAATAATAATTTATCATTGTAGTAAGATATGACGCTAGAATAAATGTTTGTGCAGTTATAGTTTAGTGTGATGCTATGAAAGTCACAATTAAGTGAAAAGGATAATAAAATATCACTCTGTATGAGTCATATATGCATAGTGAAGATAAAACGAATCTGAGAAGTTCGCTCTGAAAAGTGCAAGTGGCCTTGAAACTTCTCCTGAAGAGTACGTTTGGCCAATCGTCATGACATATAAAAGCGCGCGAATAGTACATATTGCAAAACCTATCAAAATTTACTAATCTGGATCAGTTATCTGGTCCTAGTAGTTCTAAATACTCTGTACAGCATATTTCGTGAGATTAATTTAGGGTATGTACGTGTTGACGGTCGCCCATTTTATCAGAAACAGCGAATTTAGGAGTTTTCTTATGTACCAAAAATCTGCTTTAGGTACGTAGATGACACGTTTATCATTAAAAACAGAACGGATAAAACTAATTTTTCTAAAATATCAACAATATGCTCAAAGCGTACCATTAACTGAAATCAGTGAATCTACTGACTAGAATTTACCATTTCTGGTCTGTTTGGTTGTAAGAAAACGTAATAACTGTTTAGAAATAAATATATCCCGAAAGTTAACATATCCTGAGAAATATCTAGAATACATGTCAGTTAATACACATTCTACCAACGTGGCAGTTTCTGAGAATTCGAAAATCCTTCAGTGAATGAAATGATGACGAAACTAAATTGCATTTGACTAGGTCAACCTCCATGTCGAGTAATTGTTCTTTCGACTCTTTAAAAGCAGTAGTTGAGGTGTACGATCGGGAAGATAAGAAAATATATGAAGCGAAAAGATGAAAAGTATAAGTTAACACGATGACGATCCCGTGCCGCGGAAGAACTTTAGAAGGTATCAGACAGATCCCAAATCATTTTAATATGGGTCTGCTATCGATTATACAACTCTCCGAAATAATAAAAACTCAAAGGAAGAACGTTGCTATTGAAGGGCATGAACTTCATTTATAAAACATTACCCAGTCGTCTGAAGACCTGAAAAATCCAGAAAACATGTCAGTGACTGCATCGAACTCACAGAGTGTGGCCATACAATTGATTTCGCTGACACCAGAATCCTCCAAAAAGGTTTTAGTTCCAACAACAAAAGAATAAAAACCGAAGGTTTGAAAACATGGGGAAATCAAACACCATTATTAAGAGAGATGTATTGCAGTCGGCAAACCAATAGCGGTTAATAATTGATAAGCCCATTTAACTTCATTATGTGAAACCATGGAGGGCATGTCGATGATGCTTGATTTCGCTCTTTGATCTGTCCATTTAATGCTCTTGCTAAAACTTTTGGTACTTCAATGGGAAGACATCTTGCTAGTCACGAAAAGCCAATACCTAGTTTCTCCCATTTTGAAAGATTCAGAAATAATTTGTCTTCATGATCTATTTCCTAAGTTAATGTGAGAAATTCACAGTGTTAATTGCGGTTCCTGTATTAATGCTTACATGACGTAGGTGGGTTGTGTCAATGACTGGGGCCCACTTAAGTTGGGTGGAAATGGCATGGCCTCTCATCTAGTGTCGAAATCACGCCTAGCGGCCGATATATAACATGGACTTCCTTTTTGTCGTATTTAGGTACAATGGTAACGTCTACGACTGTAAGACATACGTACGACAGAAATGCACTAGTCGGATTAGGTACAAGGGCAGGATCTGACCACTGCTGAATGTGCTTATCCATGATCCATATATCATAATCTGTTGGTTTATTTAAATATTTAACGAACAATTTGCTTGATCAACACAATGATATAGAAACTTATAAGTTCGCTTATATTCATTCAGTTTATGCTGTGACATGTGTGACTTATAACATTGGTAATTTTTTCTGAGCTCATCCGAATTCTTTATTCGAGCGATATATTACCAGAAAAATCTCTTCACATTACATTCACAAATGTGATCTTAAAATATTCTTCATTTTTTGCTCCAAATGTCTTGTGTGTTGAAATGCTCCAAAAAAGCGCCGAGAGCGTTTTCGATCATCCGAAGTCAATTATCACCTGAGATTTTCCTACAGATTGACGGGTCGCGGGATATTACCACTGATTTATCTACATATATTTTCAGGGTTTGGATTGTCCTCAACGTTCTCCGTGGATAATATGTGAGCCACACCTAGACTATTAGGTTGCTTTCCAGTTTATCTGGTAAGTGAATGCCATTTGTGGTTAAGCTTTACCACGCCATCTAGTGAGTTTTAGACCTGGAGAGTTTTAGTCATTCGGGAGATAGTAAAGAGCAATTAACTATTTTCGAACCCTGGCTTATTAATAGGACGTAGACTTTAGGAATCTTTCAATTCAGTCAATGTGAGTTACTGATATGAATTTCACCCAAACTCCTAATTTAAATCATTGTCCTACTTCTTGGCATAAGTTAAAAGTTACGGCCCTATTGAGATAACCTCACAGATGTGGGTAAAGGACTTCCTAGTTCGGCCTCAGAAAAGGGTATGGGTTAACTACAACTGCGCCTTCCCTCACCAAAAGGAAAGACAAGAGGTTACTTAATCACAGTACTTAAATTAATTAATGATAAACTAGCATCTGGTAGATTGTCATCTATTCTTGTTTAACAACGCAGAATTTATCAGGAAATTTCGAGCAATTTAACAGTTTTCCACGTATAAGCCAGATCCTACTCATCAAGAATTCACCTCTTCGATAATACTGCCATTCTACCATTAAGTTCAGTAATTAGCCAAAGAAACAATCTCAAAAGTGCATCAATTGTGAATTCTAGTGAGTAAATTAACATAACCGCTTAGTTATAATGATTTTAACAAGCACACCGATAACACATAAAACCCACGGAAACACAAATTTCTAATCCTGTTTTATTTTACATGCGCCAAGAGCTTGAGGTCATCTTCACGTTTACCATTCGCTCAACCGCGAAGCACAGCTCTATCAATTCCATTTATAAATAAGGATATTTTTCCAAGAATTTCGTTAATAGTAGAGACTACAGTCTTGAAACTGATCAGAATAGCCTTTGTGTTCAAACAGCGGCACACTTAAAACTGGTATGTACGACTAAGATTTAGGTTCGTTAATTCATACGTTTTTCTCTCGTTTGTGATTCGCTCTGTATTTTATCGTATTGTCCGTATTCCGAATTCGACGTATTTTAAAAACCACCTGTATGGTAGCCGTGGTTCCTTAGTTTGGCAGAATTTTGGGGAAACCAACAAAATCAAGTGACCTTCACCAAGGTTAAAGGAAAACATTGGGGAATCTCCCCAGGTCTGAGAAATTTTTTTGGGTTTCGGTGCCATTTCCCTAGAGTTTACTATTGCGGCTTCCCTAAAATGGGTCAAATTTCCCCCGAAATTAAAAGCTCGATGACTGTCTTCGGATTGTGTAAAACTTTACTCACACAAAATATATGAAATTAATAACTTTTAGAACATTTAATTTCAGGTCAGGAATTTTGTGGTTTGCCCAGGGTTGGTGCTTGACTTCTTATCCTTTTCTTGTATGTCTACCGATCCGCACCCAACATTTAACGAAGTTAAAAAGGCTGTAGCTAGAGAGGTAGAGCGATAGGAGTCCGGAGATCCTTGCGAGTGATGACTAAGTTCTAAATGCTCTAGTGGCGGATTTTAGCTGGGGTTTTGGCACTAGGTGTAATTCCATCTGACTAGTTTCGACATCTGACCGTCTCATCATTTATACGGAGGTTTAAATCCTTTCGTGGTAGCCACAGAAAAATTTCTTTAGCTTACATAGTACCCCGAGTACTGATGTCACTCGTCATTAGGTGTTTGAACAAAGCTTTTGAGCAGCAAGTGTGAGAAAACCTGGCTTATTTCAGATGTGCAGTTATTTATATTAATCAAGTATTCATTTTTCGTTTGGTCCCAGGACAAAGGCTGAGAAAATGAAAATTCTTTCGGTCGCCTTAAGCAGCGACACCAGTATGTTCTAGACAGGATTTTTTTCTCCCCCTTCTGCATGCGAAGTGTTGCTTCAGGAATTATTTGCATTAACGATTAAACTAAATATAGAGAGATGTAGTTGAGTTTGTCAACCAATCCACTCATTTTGGAAGTGACAAGTTCAATGCATTGATGCCTTAAAAAATTCTCTGCATAGCTCCGGGAAGTTTGTTTAGCCTTTCAGCATAGGTGTGGTGTTTGTTTGTCAACCAAGGGAGATGTACGCTGTGTTCTTTGTTCTATCCTATAGCCTTGATGTATAGCTTGTAAAAGTAGATGTATGTAGGCCACAGGCCTTTGGTCATCGATTTCTCCCAAGCACTGCTCATTTGTCGCGGGACAGTCAAATATACGAAATCGGTTGACGTGAATCTTCGTCTAAGGATTTAACTGGGATAAGTATTATATTTATCCAACCACTATCTATGTCAACTGGAAATGCTAGCTTGTGTATAAGGATAGAAGGCTAAGGACGGTCAAAACAAAACGCAACATCAGTCCATGAAGTCATTAACTTTCGTAATAGACTATATTATGCAATATGTTTCAGAATAGGTCGTACTGGCACCGATACTGTGATTGTTTTTTCCTAAATATTTTTTATTGCTAGTCTTCATCACTTCTGTACCAATCCTGCCTGTGATGATGTGATTTTTCAGTTAGGTTCAATGCATATATGTCCCAGGTTCTACGTGGCTTATGACTGACAGATTGGAGACACTTTGTGTTGATTTTGAATTAGTGTCTGCTTCTTAAAGTAGAAGGTAGCATATTTTCATATGCTGATCAGCTGGCAGAAATACTCTGGCCGTCATATTCCTGTTTGATCAGCGTCACAAACTCGTTCTGGGAGTAACAGTTTTTAGACTTTACACCAGCCTTATTTTTCAACATAATCAAACTCCAAGGAACGACCGTTTCAGCGTCATTAATCTTGACGTATTAAATATAGTATACGTTTATCATGGATTCATTCTTAATTACCAAGCCAGATTATAACTAACTAAGACAATTAACTTTTGTCAACTTTACTAACTTCACTATTACTGTTCTGTCCGTAAGTGCCAGTTTTTGATTTCTCCTTATCTTGTTGCAGCCAAAGTGTTTGAAGCAATTATTCAGCACTTAGATACCTGATTTGCTACTGGTAGTATTCAAAGGTTCGAACCCTACCCAACTTATTCTGGCCAGAGCACTAGAGTAATGTCACTAGCCCTTATTAAAATAAAAAACACTCCTTAAACTTCAACATATAAGTCCGTACTTGATTAAGAAGCTGAAGTATTTCTGATGCTTTATTTGACAGATCTCCGCCATTGAAGATTCATGACTTCACAAGTAGGGAGACATGATGTTTTACAATGGATCCAAGATATTGCTAAAAAGCGTCTGACTGTTGCAAATACTGTTTCGGAATTCAAATATGCAAAGTGCCGCGTACGTCAGTTAAAAGGACCTAATCATTTTCCTTCACTGGATGAAAATTTTGAGGAGAAAACTCATGAAACAATTTTGAAGTCTGACAATAAAATGGGAGTTCTTTATTGGATGATACGTGATCAAAGAGTACAAGGTAAACTATGCATTCTTTTAATTAAGATGAAACGTTTACATACCGATTCAATGGATTGACAAAGTTGATGTATATATGGTAGTTACAATCGGGAGAGTGAGTCGTAGTTACTTGCGAAACTAAGGTAGTGACTACAAATCATCTCTCAACTGTTTTGTGTTCTGGTAGTCAGTTCTTTTTAAACGTTCGAAGTTTGGGTTAGATGAAAAGGTCTAAAGTACATGAGCGAGTTTTAGCTGTCAACTACCTGTGAGTTAAATGCATCGCTCCGTAAGATTGTAACCTATGATGTTTATGTTTTCTGAAATGCCGAGCTTTTCCAAGTTACATAGATTCTATTTCTTTTATCAGTGAGTGCATGCAACCCGCTGCCAAACAAACGTAAAAATTCAGCAACATAACACTGATTTGAAAAAAAACTGCAGGAAATTATTTTACGTAGTTTGTCTTAGCAGCATGGAGGGTCGCATATTGGTCAGTCTACTTCAAAACTTGTATTTCAGATCATTTCTAAAGGGTTTTTCATAAGTTCGATATGCTTGTTGTCAAGCAAACACGTTAAACACGCTTTCTTTGACTAAGTAAATCCCAGTAAGTAGAAAAATTGTATTTCTACTCATCGGGATATAACAAAAATATATTTATTATTAATTATCTACCAAATGCTCAGTTTGTTTGAAACCATCAAATCCAACCTTGATATTTATACCTATAAACTCATTAATAATCGAATTAAATTATCCAAGTTTTTTAAATTTTTGGGCTCATGCACATTAGCGTCAAATCTGTGACCGGTTTTGGACAGATTACTAAGAATTTATTTTATTTAAGTAGTATAATTATAAGTTCTCCATTTATTTTAAATTTGGAAGCACCTGCTTGTCATAGTTGTGTATAATATTTATTGTGTACAAGTCCGTGTATTTATTTGATTCTCACATATTGCCACGGTTGTTTGATTGCTCCAGTTTCGACACGTGAAAACAGTTTGAAATTATAAATCAGTCACTCCTAGTCGAATTCCGATACTGTCAAGATATACTTTTACAAGTAACCATTTAGTTGATATGGAACTGATTGTTCATTTAAACAATAAAACCAATTGGGCATTATGCATGCGCTCGTGTTCTTGAACGATATGAAAAATTGGAATGTCACGACAGTACTAATTGAAACCGGTATTTATAAGCTTTACGTGACAGCTCTCAATGTATTCATTTTATTCAAGGCATTTATACATTCAGTCACTTATTTTTTTTTACTTTATTCACTGTTTACTTTGGCATTTCATTTTGGTCTATATTTTCTTAAAAGATAGGATATGATATCTACTCAGATAATAGAGCTTATCTGACCGAAGTTTATGATCACCTTTTCGTTGTATTTTTCCTTTATTGTTTTTTTTGTATTTAGACATAATCATATCTAATCGTTCTATACGAGTTAGTTTCGTTAGTGAATGGATGTGTTATATACCAAATATGATCCATAATTTTCTCTACCCTTGTTTGTGCCATTTTCTGCGATTAAGACAACTTTTGTTCGTTGTTTGTTAGTGTTTTTCCCCTCATCGGTTTGTTTGTGTACCTTGTTCGTTGTCCCATTTTTTAAATCTGAAATGTGTTGTTAGTATTTTGGTTGTATTTTAATTCTTTCAGTGTTTTGCACTCATTCAGTGTGTCTATTTTTCATGTTACGTTCAACGACATTTTGTTGTTGTTTTTTGTTTATTGTCTTAAAAAAATTATTTTAGGCCAAGTGGTTCTCCAGTGTATAGAAAATTATAATAAAGTTGGTCGGTATGCATATCACATTTAGTATCAATTCGCTTCCAGAAAGAAATTTTTATGAGTTTTCTTCTGTACTTATTTCTTGACAAGTTGGACGAATTAATTATTGTTAGCATTATTTCCTTGAAACGTTTTACGAACCACCTTATAGTTTTGTCGAAAGCATTGGCTCAGTAGGTAAACCATTTGTCTTTCGGTCACTAAGTCAACAGTTCGAAATCCTCTCCACCGGGAGTTATGTGGTGTAGTATCACTGTTTTCCGCACCTGGAGTACGGTACAGAGTCAAGTAAATGAGGTAAATGAGTTATAAACACTAATGCTTTGTCTTCACATTAACTACCAATAATTAGTGGAGGAATCTTTATTTTAGATAGATGTTTATTGTCATCTGTAGTTGGGTTGCATATCTGTTTGAGTAAACTATGCAGACTAGACGAAATCATAACCACTTTATATCTACGGGGTTTGCTTTGAAATTCTTTTAAAATGCGTCTGTTAAAAGTGATGTTTGTGCTAGGTTGAAAAATTTCAAATCCGATGAAAACTGTCTTATACGTTTGTGCTCAGAGGCAGAGAAAATGAACATACATACTTGTCGTTGCAAATCGAATAATGGTACTAAAGTATAATTCATACACAATAAAGATGACTACGACTATCAGATTGTTCGCTGAATGAAAAACCATCGAAAGCTTAATTCCGTCACTTTCTATTGTATTGACTTCATGAACAATATAGTCAATAAGTTGGTCCATTTTCAATCAAATATAGTTATAAATGGCAAAAGTTTACTTCTAAATGCTACCTGAACACTCTATGACATTTGTGTTAGTCGTTTCTCTGACTAGATTGTGTTTTTAAAAAGCAAATCATGTTAATTTAGTATAATTCAGTACCAAATCAATACTTTGGTAATTTTTTGGGATGATAAAACTAATTATTTATTACCGTATGCCATTCTATCAATTATGCTAATTTGTCTCAATATATTAATTTTGCAATAACTTTATTAGTATTATCCCCATCATTTTAACTATTTTTTTATTACTCAATTAAAAATGAAATATTTCTTTTAGATAATTGGGCTTTCTTGTTTGCTCAACGTTTAGCATTGAAATTTAAAGTCCCACTACACGTTTGTTTCTGTTTGGTTCCGAAATTTCAAGCCGAAACGTTACGACATTATACCTTTATGGTTGAAGGATTGAAAGAAGTAGAGAAAGTAAGTTATTTTCGTATTTAATTAAGTGATTAGTCCTAATGTTCAGGTGAGAGGTCCTGTTAAAGATATGTCACAGTTACCTGTCAGGGTCTCTGTCGATGTTTGGTTGCTAACTAAAGTTAAATTTTATCTCTTCCAGCAATGTTATCCTCATATATTTAGTCACTTGTCCGTTAGTTTATCTTACTTGGATCGTTCCATCTTATGTCGCAGATGATAGGTGACGTCGTGGAGCAGCTTGTATTATTTAAGAAAATTAAAGCGCACAATGCTATATCAGTACCGGATAAAATCAAAATCTTCGTATTTTTTTCAGATTACTTATTAATTAATTAATTAATTAATTAATAATAATAATAATAATGGTAATACAAGGATATATAAATAAGAATAACAAAGACAATAATATCCAAGAAAAGTTCAATGTACATTAGTCAAGTTGGGCCATTCTGTTGTTAAAATTACTGTTGATTTATTGGTCCAGAAGTTGGAGCCAAGGTAAAATAATGGATTGAATATACTTATTTGTACACCTAGTCCCAGTTTTTTAATCTGAATGGCTATCGCTTCTGCTGTTCGAAGGACTTCGAGTAGGACAGATTTTGGCAAAAAATTACTAACCTGATAAATTATTAAGATTGATTTATACCAGCGCTGTAATCAGTTTGGACTAAATGGGCTAGTATTAAGCTGTTTGCTTTCTGGATTACACCTTTTCTTAGTCACTCTGTGAGATGTTTAGGATCATGAAAATGTAAATCCCTAGAACTTCGTTTAATATAACTTGCTCCACAAAAGAAGTCGAATTGTGAAATATAAATGAGGTTGTAGGTAAGTCGTCTTTTAGCCTTGGTGCATAGGAAACACTAGTCTCAGTTTTCTGGCGTTTAACGTTTTCTGAATTGTTCTACGTAATTTCTAGATTAGTATTTCACTGGCTGCATCAGCTCTGAATTGCAGGCATATGAACAGGGATTTCTTATCCACCGTTTGTATTTCGCCTATTCTAATCTTTGTGGTCGTATATTTGTTTATAAACTTTCTAGAGTATCTGTTTTCCCTACAAGTAATACGCAAGGCGTTTAGCTCTTCAACTATATCAGCAGAACATATAGAACTAAGTGTTCATCAAGTTTCTTTTGTACTGTAGAGGTAAAAAACTAAGGAAATGTGTACTGACCTTTCCAGATACTTTCCCCGTTTAAGTTCTTTCTTATAAACGCACCAGCTCTTTTTGTTAACAAAGTGTTCGGAAAAACTGTTCTACTTTCACTTTCTTCGGAAGTTAACCTAATGACTGAGTGTAGTATCTTTACAGAGAGTGAACGTCTCATTCATACACCGACAGTAGTGTGAATTTTCTGATAAATTGTGGACTATTTTCTAGTTTAGTCAGAGAAATGTCAGGTAGTATGGGACTTAATAGCAAACCCATTACAACTCCATATATTCGTCTATGGGCGTCTCCGTTAAACTTGAAATTCGCACTCAAAGTGCATTTCAGTAACAATCGTTTTATGATATTAATTGGAACTTCACTTTCCATCTCTTTTTTTGCAAGTTGTTCACAAGTATATTCTGCAGTCTCCATGAGTGGGACATGAATGAATAATTATGTTACTTTTAAAGAAATCATGGTTACCAACTACTCAGTAAAAAATCACAATGTTATATTTGTCATCAAGTGCTTGTGAAGACTGCTCACTTTTCTTGAGATCATGAAGTGCCGAGGTGTCCCATACTAGAACGAAATGGTCGTCCAGTGCTTTCAGGTTTTCAGTGGTGGTGGTCTAACTTAAGGCAGTTTTATATATTGTATGAATTGCTTGTTAATCTGACGTGTTTCTATTATCTAGTACTTTATAATGTTACAAAGCAATAATTAGGTTTTTCTACTTAAAAAATAATTCTTATTTATATAATTTATCATTATAGGGTATGTTAGTTATTGTGCTGCGTCCTGACCTGACTCCGATTTGAGTAGACGTTTAGACGTACTATAAAAATAAATCTGCCATTTTAATCCGTATACTACCTAGGCTAACCCCGTTCGTGCGACGGCGGTAATGAGAATGTAAATACGGTTTGCGTTGAATTAATTTATTTTAAGCACTTGTTTATCCAAACAGATAATCAGAATAAAAAGGGAAAGGGAAGCGGAGAAGGCGAGTGAACCAACTCGTTTTGATAAAGCGAAAAAAAATAAGCCAAAGACATGTAATTAATAGGGTAATCAGTACACACACCTATGCTCATACAAGAACAGTCGAGGTTAATAAACTAATAATTGACAAGGTCAAAACATGACTCGAGAAGAATGAATAAACTGATCTGTCTGGAGGCTAGAATAACCCATTTGTACTTAACATGATACTAGACATCACAAGTTCACTCACTGACTGTTTGCTATCAAAGGATTTTGCTAATTATGTACTGCCATTTAGTTAAGCTTTACTAGAAGCTTCACTTAAAAGAAGAGGAACCGCTATGTTATAGAAATTTAGTTGCAGACTTACTGATTGAATTAATTCCATCTGTTTATTAAAGCTTAGGAGCTCTGCTACAGTATTGTTGAAATTCACCATCCTCACAAAAATAGGGATTCCATGTTATTCGTATAATATGTGTTATTTAATCCAACTTCTTGTCAGATAACTTATTCAGTTGTTTCCGTTTCTTAACACAAACCTGACTCACAATACATCAGTGAGTTGGTGAAGACCTATGGGAGATCACAGCAAGTCATTGTCTTAGTAAAATGAAATATTTGAACGTTGGTTTCAGTTACTAAAAATATATATGTTTCCTATTAACTAATGTTTGAGAGACAAACGTAATCTCTAAGATTGACGACTTTGGGCCCACCCTGTTTCTGGTCCTGGATATTCTGAGTTATCGTTACCAGGTGAAAATCATAATACTTACACGTGACAATTGCGCTGTTGTTTTTATTTCATGTGTATAAAGAAGAGAATTCCAAGATCTTTTTGAAATCTGCTTCTGTTATTTTTTTATTATCGTTTATTTCTTTTTTATTTGTATCTGTACAACGCCTTTGTATGATGCATATTTTAGTTTCTGTTTTATTGAGTGCTGTGTTTAAATGGTATATATTTAAGCATTTCGTATATGAGTTGCATTTGTAAGATTTTATTGTGTTAATATGTGTAACATTTAACATAGTAAAGTTTGGCCTCCTTTTTATTTAGGAATGTCGTGAACTTTGCATACCATTTCATATTACATCAGTTGCCAATAACAGCTCACCGACCAATCAGTCAGTCAAAACGGGCATCAAGCGTAAATTACCGGAATCAGTAAATAATTGTTGTTATGCTGATACAGTCGCTCAGTCCGTTTTAAGTTTGATACAAAATGTTAATATCAGCTGTATCGTAACAGATTTTTTTCCTTTGCGTGAACCTACAGCTTGGATAAAACAGTTGGCTGAACTGCTTCCAGAAAATATTCCGTTTTGTCAGGTAATAATTGATAAAGATTAATGATTATACTGTGCTTATAATTTGACTATTTTATCTGTGGTAATTGTGTAGAACAGAGCAATAGGCAGAAGCAATAAATGTTTGTTGTGAGAAATCACAGTGTTGATATAATACATATACGTAGCCTTGGATCATCTGTTTATGTCTTGCGGTGTGTTCTACGGTCTGAAATGTCTTTTGATCCAGTCTTCAAATGTTGTGCTTACGTCGTGCTTTGACGTACTGAAGATTTTCTCTCCTGATGACTGCGACGTCTTCTCAGCCACGTTTTGATACACATTACTTACAAGTAGTTTTGTGACTAATGTTGACAAGTCAATTATTTCAACTTGATACATATTACTTACAAGTATTTTTGTGACTATTGTTAACAAATCGTCAATTATTTCAACTTCCAGCAAGTTTACTGAACATCTTTGTATAAAAACGGAAATTAGAAGCTGGGAGTGATTTCTTTTTAGAAGTTGATGCCAATGAAAAAAATATTTTTAGGTCTTGGAGAAGTGAGCAAGTGTACTTTTTACCTAAAACTGTGCTTTAGTAAACAGTCCGTGGATTGAACTTAAAAATTTTAATTGTTCATGGCTTAGAGTTTAACATTTAAGACCTTTCGACCGAATTTCACTGAGGCATTCGGCTTGTAGTCGCATCAGTTTGTTCTTTGTTTAGAACTGAAAAATCTCATAAGTTGTAATGAAATAGAGATTCCAACCCCTTTTTCATTTATTTTTACAGCATATCTCAACTTCTGGTAGGAAGAACCCTTCATATTTCATAACTTTATATTCATTTTAAAGTTTCTATTGGTCATAATCTTCAATCATATTCTTGAAAATATGTAACTGTTTGTATTTCAATGTTTTCTACATGTTAGCTTGTAGGTAATTAGTTTAATCAATAATTCCGAATATTTGACAAAAAATGATAAGTGATATTTTTGTTTTCCAAAGGGGTAAAGTATTCAAAAAATGTAGTTTAACTCTGTTCTGTTGAAAAAATGAAAGTCAGGAACCAGTAGTTTAGTCTTTATTTGGATGACACTAATTTACGGTCGAACTTTGAGCGACACGAAAGCGATTTTAAGAAATTCCAACTACTTATGGACAAAAGAGGGTATAAGTTAGTGTGAGTGATTAGGATTAGAATTTAGTGTTAGAAGTTAGGGTTTTCATCACCAAACTGCATCAACTATAATGCCGAAAATTCTGTGTCGTCATTCGAGTGAGTGAATTTCGCGCTGAAATCTGAGAGTTCCCTCTTGAATCTGATTAGTTCGTCCGTAAATAATAATCCCACCGTTGTCTGGTTTCATAGTAATTACAACATTCGGCTCTCAACTATCATCTTGAAGGTTCGAATCCTCTTGCTTTCAGTCTGAATAGCTGTTTAGTATCTCTAATCTGAATATTAAAAATGTAATTGAAAGTCAGATACATAACTGCTGTAAATAGCTGGTAAGTTGTAGCATTCATTCATTTCTTACAAAGTCAGTGTGAATCGCTATTAAATCTACATGATACATTTTGAATTATTTATATTCCTTATAAATTCGTTGGAAAGTGTAATAATAGACAAGTCAAGTGAATGTTGTTCACCAATGTACTCAGGTAACTAATACTATTGATTACTGTTTATACTCTTACTATCTCTACCACTATAGAATTTGAATCGACAACTGCATCTCTGCTCATGTGGTATGGCAACTCGAACTGATGTACGTACGTACGAGGTTTTACGTTGTTACTGACTGACTGGTAACATTCTGCATGAGGAAAGCGCCAATGTTTATAGAGACATTAATTTATCTCTATTATATATATATTTACAATACCGTAGCAAAACGTTTAAGTGCTATTAATAGTGTGAATCGAGTAGACAAAAACAATATTATATATATGCATATTAAACTCCGTCATACTTTGTGTGAAAGCTAATGATATTCCTGGACACAGCTGCCCAAATTAAGATAGGTAAAGTGAATTTGAGACTTACAATTCAGTAGTTTCAAGTCAAACACGTCTTACAACTATTCGTATATATTTTACCAGTTTTATAGTTTTACTAACATTTGATGGCATCTAATTTACAATATACAGATAATCTACTATTCTACAAGCCTATTTATTGAGTAGCGATGAAATATCTTTAACACATAGTTTCAAAGTGAATTGGGAGTGTTCAGGAAGTGCTTACCAATTTTATTGATTATCGCAATATTTATCATGGAACCACTCATTAAAAAATGTTCTTGTATTTATATGCTCAACTAGGTCATGTGTTATGCATGCATATATTTGCGCATATTGATTGCCTAATAGAAGATTGCAATTGTTTAGAATTATTTAATCTATATCAATAGTAATATCTGAAGATCATATGCTCCTTTGAATACCAAATACTCATATTGTTTAAGCTTTTGTTAGTTGATGATTTGGAATTGACACCATTTTTAATACACTTCATATAAATATCACTTGTTCTGTCTAGTTGCTATCTACCATGACGTACAATACTGAATAACAAAGAATAACTTGAACTTAAGCTATATCTAGTATTATGCGCATATGCCAAATATGACTAATCAATTCCAGTCCTTGATATCAACGGGAAGATGCAAACACTTACAAATTATTTATCTTTGTTGGGGATTTAAGAGAACCTCGGTACGATTACCAATACCAAGTTTCTAGTAATATTTTCGTGCCTTAAGGAAATATAACGCCTATACAAAATAAGGAAGTGAATGAATACTTTAGCAATACTGTTTCGGCATATGCTTGGTTGTTTGGGGTCAACTCTTAACCAACCAACCTATGCTGTTACAATATTACCACCCTTAAACATTGTACTTCCATGTATCTGTTTTTTTTCTTTTAATACATATCCTTGCTATTCCTATTCATTCTGCAATTTTTCTTTTCTGTTTCATTATTATATTTACTTTTACTTGATTTTTATCAGTGACCATTCGGTTTCTAAAATGTATCTATTCACATCGTCTAGCTTTTGTACACCAAGGAGTATTTTTCAATAGTTTTTGCGCGTATTAACAGTTTTAAAATAAGTTTGTTTCACTCCATAGGATTGTTTATTTCTATTATGAACATAATCTTGTTCACAGTTAACTGAAATGTATATCGAATCAATTGAAAGAGTCTCGCCGAATGTTAGAACACCGTCATACTTATCACAGGCCAACAATCGTAGTGTTTCTTGACATCAGTGCTACTTTCGATTTGTTGGATAGGACTGTTCTCTGGGATCGTCTATTGAAGAACGGTGTGCACTACATACAAACACCTCAGGCAGAGTGAGGGTATACAACCACCTCTCTCCATTGTTCCATTGAAGCAGTGAGGTTAGAGAGGGTTGCGCAATCTCACCATTCCTCTTCAACTTTTCTATCGATGATGTTCTGAAAACAGCTCTGATGGATGTAAATAGTGGCGGTGTGGATCCGTTGTATGGAGAAAGACTACTCGACCTTGAGTATGCGGATGATATTATCTTATTGTGAGATAATACTCAAGCCACGCAATCCACACTTAATCAGTTGGCAAATAGTGTCCGTAGGTATGTTATGTGCTTTGCACCTTCCAAGTGCAAAGTATTTTTACAAGACTGGCAGAACCGTCATTCTACACTCACCATGGGTAGTATATATATAATTAGTCTTTGATGCTGTCACGTAACAACTCATTTTGATGCTTTTTTTCTGAAACCTTGTCGTGTTTTTTTTATAAGGTTGATGCACATAATGTTGTTCCTGTTTGGCATGCATCAGATCACTTAGAATATGCGGCTCGTACAATTAGACCAAAATTACATCAAAAAGCAAATAACTTAATGACCGAGTTTCCACCATTGACTAAACATCCCTATTGTCATCAATCAAGCTTATCAGTAAGTATTATTTTTACTTATTCAATTGCTTACCTCATTTTCTGTTGAAAATGTAATAATAACTTGATATCAAACTCAAATGAAACATTATGTCTATTTATCAAATGCTAATCACATAATTAAGGAATCCAAGTGTCCACTTATACTTGATATGATAAAATATAAAAATCCTAATGACTAAGTGAATTGATTGTCTACTGTATAACAAAACACATTTTAAAATAAAGACTAGTATTTCATTACATCAACCTGGATTGAATGAAACATGATTATCAAGTACATACAGTCATAGTTTTTCAAGTGACGTACATTAGCTACAAATTACCCGTCACATTTAGCAGAACAATGTAAAGTAATAATAATTTTTTCCAGTCTTAACCAATATGAAAATCATGATAAAGTATATGCTATAAATTGATCAGTGTGTCTTAGCCTAACGATTTAAATTTGATACGAATCTCTTGAATATCCCAATATCTTCTCAACCTCGGTTGCTTCAAAAGTAGTTTTTGCAGAGATTTGTTGGTAAAGACACATACTGTTCAATATTTCTTTAGAAATATTGATCTGCACTAAGCTAGACAATCTTTCGTAGTAAATAAATCGTTCTGAAATTACCGTGATGAATTTTAATTTTAGAAAAACCGGTTATCCAGTTTTGTAACTTACCATTATGTTCATTAGACCAGAGATTACTTGTCTATAGGAAAACAGTAATTTCAAATAACATCTTGTCTGTAAATCACAATACACGTAATGCTTTTTTTCCTTGACATCAAAAAGATCCAACTTAAATTATCGACTATGTTTACGAAAGACAGTCAAATTGCAACCTGTAGACACTAGTTTAAGTGATAATTTTATGGGTATCCACAGAGTAAAATGCCTATTTTCTGTATATTTCAGTTCTTTTCACAGACAGGAAAAAGGCAATATATATATATATATATATATATATATATATATATATATATATATATATATATATATATATAGCCTCCTTCAGTTAAACTAAATTACTTACTTACTTACTTACGCCTGTTACTCCTCATGAAGGAGCATAGGCCGCTCACCAGCATTCTCTAACCAACCCTGTCCTGGGCAATCCTTTCCAGTTGTTATTGATCCTTTCCATATCTGCTTCTATTTCCCGACGTAATGTGTTCTTTGGCCTTCCTCTTTTCCGCTTCCTTTCAGGATTTCAAGTTTCAGCTCCATACAGTAGAACTACCTTGACGTTGGTATTGAAGATTCTCACTTTGATATTGGTTGAAAGTTGTTTTGAGTTCCATATGTTCTTTAATTGTAGGAATGAGGCCCTTGCTTTGCCAATCCTCGCCTTTACGTCTGCATCCGATTCTCATTTTTTATTTATGATGCTTCCCGGGTACGTGGAAGATTCCACATCTTCCAGAGTTTCGCCATCAAGAGTGATTGGATTGCTGTTCTCCGCCCTGAATTTGAGGACCTTGGTTTTCCCTTTGTGTATCCTGAGGCCTGCTGATGCAGAGACTGCTGCCACACTGGCTGCCTTTATCTGCATTTGTTTGTGTGTATGCGATAGGAGGACTAGGTCATCTGCGAAGTCCAAATCGTCTAACTGATTCTGAGCTGTCCATTGTACTCCGTGATTTCCCTCAGATGTTGAGGTCTTCATAATCCAGTCGACCACCAGAAGAAAGAGGAAGGAGGAGAGTAGACAGCCTTATCTGACTCGGGTCCTTACTTGGAATGCGTCTGTCAGCTGTCCTCCATGCACGATCTTTCACTGTAGTCCGTCGTATGAGTTCCGGATAATGTTGACAATCTTCTCAGGAACTCCATAGTGTCAAAAACGTTCCCATGAAGTCCTCCTATCTACACTGTCAAATGCTTTTTCATAATCAATGAAGTTGATATACAGTATTGAGTTCCACTCAACTGATTGTTCAACGATGATCCGTAGTGTCGCAATTCGGTCTGTGCACGACTGATCCTTACGGAATCCAGCTTGTTGATTTCGAAGTTGGGCATCTACTACATCTTTCATCCGGTTCTGCAAAACTCTGTTAAAAACTTTCCATGGTTATGACAGTAGTGTAATGCCTCTGTAGTTTTCACATTTGCTCAGATCTCCTTTCTTTGGAATCTTGATGAGGTGTTCTTCTTTCCAGTCCATCAGCACTTCTTCCTCCTCCCAAATCTTTTTGAATAGAAGGTGAAGCATGTTTGTAGTTACTTTGATGTCTGACTTTAGTGCTTCAGCTGGTATGTTGTCGGGTCCTGCTGCTTTCCCGCTCTTTATTTGTCTGATGGACATCCTGATTTCTTCTGTCGTCGGTGGATTGACATCTATAGGAAGATCTGTGTGTGTGCTGCTTCGATATCCGGTGGATTCATTGGAGCTGGCCTATTCAGGAGATCCTTGAAGTATTTTACCCATCTGCTTCGCTGTTTTCAGTGATTGGCTTGCCTTCTTTATCTTTTACCGGTCTCTTTAGTTCACTGTATTTCCCTTGTATCGTAAAGCTGTTTCATATTTCCTTCTCTTGCAGCTTTATTCACTATCACTGCTAGATCATTCACGTATTTCTGCTTGTCGGTTCTTATGCCCCTCTTTACTTGCTTATTTACTTCTGTGTATTCAGCTTGTGCCTCGAATTTCTCTGCTCGTGTTCAGCTGTTGTTGATTGCTATCTTCTTGTTCTTCCTTCTTTGATCCTGTCCAGTGTTTCTATAGATATACATTCTTTATGATGATGCTTCTTGAGGCCCAGAACCTCCTGACACGTTGGAGTTAGTGCTTCATTGATGCCTTTCCAGTTGTTCCCCGTAGTAGTTTCTTTCAGTAGATCCTGTGAGGCTTGGAACCTGTTGTTGAGAGCTATCTTGAATTCATTGAGGGTGTCAGTATCTCGAAGGAAGGCTATATCGAACATATGTAATATTGTTCCCTTAGATTTCCAGTGTTTCTTTAGCTTCAGTTTTAAATTGGCCAAAACTAGGTGGTGATCTGAAGCTATGTCATCTCTTCTCCTGGTTCTCATATCTTCCATTGTCCTTCCGAACTTTTTATTGATGCAAATATGATCTATCTGGTTCTCTGTAGTGTGGTCCGGTGAGATCCATGTAGCTTTGTGTATACGTTTGTGTGGGGATATTGTGCTGCCTATGACCAATTTGTTGAATGCACACAGATTTGCAAATCTTTCTCCATTTTCGTTTCTCTCACCCAGTCCATATCGTCCCATAATATCTTCATATCCGGTGTTGTCTATTCCGACTTTGGCGTTTAGATCTCCCATCAGAATGGTGGGCACTTCTCTATGATTGACTGCAGCCGCTCGTAGAATTGATCTTTAATGTCGTCGTTGCTATCGTTGGTGGGTGCATAACATTGAATAATATTCATTGTGATCCCCTTCTTCTTTGTTCTGAGTGATGCTTTGATGATTCTGGATCCGCGAGTTTCCCATCCTAGAAGTGTATTTCGTGCTACTTTGGACAGAATTAGAGCGACTCCCTGAGTGTTCGGAGCGTTTTCCTTTTCATGACCGGAGTATGGTAGCACCTCTATCGTATTTCGCCCTTGTTGTCCAGCCTAGGTCCAATGGGTTTCGCTGATTCCCAGTACTGCCAAGTTGTATCTCCTCATTTCCGATACTATTTGACTAGTCTTCCCGGTCTCTCACATTGTTCAGGTGTTCCATGTACCTATAAAAATTGTTGCTCTGGTTGTTAGAAGAGCATCGGCCTCGTGGCTTCCGAAGAAACTCGGCTTTCATGAGGCGTCATAGTTCTTCTAAATGAAGGGCAGAGTTTAAACGGTTTTAATTATTTTTTCTGGTTAGCGTTTTTTAGCGAGTTGGTTTCCTACGGGATGGGGTCGCTAACCCCATGCCCAACCCTCATCCTTTTCACGGGCTTGGGACCGTCAGTAACTCTAGAAGAGCTACAAGCGGATTATTTTTTGTATTTGTTACTGCAACATTTATCACCAAAGGTGGTTGCCACTTCTTAAAACAAAGAACATGAAAAAGAGAAGCCCAGTACATGTGGATTATGAATGTTGGTTTTTATGGCTTTTGAAGATGACAGCAAATCATCCTGTGTGCAAACTTGAATCAGAATTCAAAGTACTGTCTATAATCATTTTTGAGATATCTAAGATTTCGCTTCGAAATTATTTTATTTTCATGTGTAATCTGCCCTTTCCCATATAGCCAATAGATTGGAATTATTGGACATCAACATTTTCGGTCGATTCATCAGTTAAACCAATTGATTGGGCAATTCCAGGAACTAGTGGAGGTCTTACAACGTTACACACATTTATCTATGAAAAACTGTCTAAATACGCTGATTGTCGTAACGACCCCACTAAAAATTGTTTGAGCGACTTGTCACCATGGTTTCATTATGGTAATTGTTATTTGATTTGTCACAATTCCTATTATGATGAGTATGCGCCATTGTATTTCAGTGTAATTTTGACTTACCAAGATGATGTTCGTCGAAGACACACACTTAGCATACTTCACCACCGCAGAAGCTACGTACTGTTGGGAGTACACACGTTAGATAGTTACGCGGACTCTTCTACCAATGATTTCAGTTTTATCGATATGTTTAGGCTTTCAGATTATAACTGTATGTGTTTTGTTTTTACTTAGGCTGGGCTACGTTGTTTCGTCAAGCAATTTCCCAGAAGTGGGTAAACTATTTTAGTTAGTGTCGAATAACTTGATGATAGACATCACTAACTTCCCAGATGGTACAACGATTTAATTATTCAGAAATATTTATGGAAATGAATTTTCAAAATCAGGCCTTTGGCTCCGCTATTCAGAATATTGTAACCAGTTGGAGACTTCGTGTTTTCATACTCAACTAATTTTATTAACCTGCACATTTTAGGACTAATAGACACTAATATATTAGGTGAATTAAAAATTTTCTGTTAAAAACTTGACAGCATATCGCATCTCAATGAACTGATTGTCCTTACGAGCATCCGGTGCACCTTTGACGTAAACCATACACGTAGGCAACTGGTGAGACTATAGTTTATGGACAACCTTTGAGCAACGCTAAAATTATGATTTACAGTTCATGGTTTGGGTTAGGAATTAGGCTTAGGATTTTCACCACAAATTTACATCAACTATAATACTGAAATAGTATTTGGCCCAATGAGTGAATGAATTGCGCGCTAAAATTCAAGATCTGTTATTGTAAATCTGATTGGTTCGTTCATTAATTAGTCTCGCCAAGCTACCTTTTTCCTTACAACCGCATCCCGTTTGTATATGATGTGAAACTATGGCACTTGAATCTTCGTGATTGAAGCTCAGTATTTCTTTAACTGCTCTTTACTTTAGGGAAGGGTATCACTGTTTGCTTGTAATACAGGTTTGCAGAAACCGTAGATTCCCTGACCACATTTTTTCAGCTGATTGCAAGCGTATTTGGAAAGTCTGTTGCAAACTATATTTCTATACTTTGCTAAATCAGGTCAAATTGCACCACAACGAGCGATCATGGAAGTAAAACTTTGGCGCCATAAGTACAAGGATTCCGTAGATGCCTTTGTGGAGGAAGCCTTTATTCGAAGGGAACTCTCGGATAATTTCTGTTATTACAACCCGAAATATGATTCAATTGAAGGTGAGTGTAATCAGTACGGCTGTCAAAATAAATATTTCTAGCTATGCTGACAATCAAAAACCCTTAACCACGTGCTTGCTTGCATAGTAAATAAGAAACGCTAGTGTATTCGTGCTAAAAAAACCTAGTGTCTTGAAGTGATCTGAAAGAAACTGGGGAGCAATGCTCACAATCTGTTTGACTAATAAAAAAACTCAGGTAGACCACGTAGCTTTCTAGATGCAAACTTCATAACTATTACTACTTGCAGTTATTACATACATTAGCATACGATGCATCTGTTTGGTAAGCAAAGTCAGTATATGGCACAGCAATTTTCCCCCATCGCTATATGATTGTTACACGTGACCAATGATAGTATAAGGTGGGTTGGGGGAATTTGTATTTTGACTAATATTTTGTCAACAAGGACAAAGCAGATTTAACGCAGACGCTTTTAATTTCTAAAGCAGACTAAATGTCCAGTCAAGTATATGGTGCAACTGTATTTAACAAGCACTAAATGATCAAACGGCTTTTTTATTACTAGGAGCATGGAAGTGGGCTCAAGACACTCTCGCGCAGCATGCTCATGACAAGCGCAACCCTTCATATAGCGAAGAAATCATGATTGCAGCTGAAACTAAAGACGATCTATGGAATGCAGCACAGCGTCAGCTAGTACGGTCAGGCAAACTTCATGGGTTTCTACGCATGTACTGGGCTAAGAAAATATTGGAGTGGCATGGATCCGGTCCGTCGGCCGCTCTCAAGTTAGCACTTTATCTCAACGACCGTTATGCACTGGACGGTTCTGACCCGAATGGGTTTGTTGGTAAGACTTGAATAGTTTATTGTTATATTCTGTGTTCCAGGTGTTATGTGGTCCATATGCGGTGTGCATGATCAAGGTTGGGCGGAAAGGCCTGTTTTTGGGAAAATCAGATGCATGACCTATAAGGGATGTTTAGGAAAGTTCTCAGTACCTACGTTTGTAGCGCGATACCCCAAGTAGTTATATACAAATAAAAATCCATATTTTTAAATCTAGTTTTTTATTCAATACAAGCTTTTTCCAAATACCAAAAAGCGGTCCAACTCGTCTTAATTCACTGGGAAAATCACACCTTGACAAAAATAAATGCAGGTTTTGAAAAGCACAGCGGCAATTCACAAATGATATCTATGGAGAATTACCGCTATTATGCCCACATGGATGCACATACTGAATTGGTAATCAAAACTAAATTTGGGAAGTGACAACAACTGCACCTATTTGGTGGCGTGAATTCCAAAGTAAATTATGAAAGCAAGCTTCCGCTGATGTAAAAATTGTCGAAAATGATTTAAATTATAAAAAAACGACAGGATCAAAATGTGTATTGTTCATGGTAGTTAATTATGACCGCTAATTGCCCCACCAGTCTGGAGAACTCTGTGATACCGAGCATGGTTGGGAATCGTAGTAGCTACTATCGCGAAGCAATCCATAGTCTCTAGACGTTGGGCCAGTAGGACGATTAGAACTATTAGCACCACGTGAGGGAGTTTGTCGATAATCACGAGCACCAAAACCGCCACTGAAATAAAAGTTTAATTATATTCAGCAATATAACAAAAGAACCAACAGTAATGACATGACAAAATGACCACTCCTAATTCAAAGGATGGAAAACGGATCAGTGTACATTCCAAAACTGCAAGTTAAATGGTTCAGCATGAGTCAAATAAATTTTATTTGGCACACCCGCTCAATACTACTGTCAAACAACGTGGTAGACAAACAAATTTTATTGTAATTAGATTAGCCTGTGATCTTGAAGCTAGCAGCATCGTTGTGGAATAATGCGCAGATTACCATCTGGGTTAGTTACAATTCACTCATTATTGGACAGTCAGCTGAAAATCATATTTTAGTGATATCGAGATAGCTTATCTGTGTTTTGTCAGTTGATGCATTTACCGTCTGTCAGGTTTAACAAAGTCAATCAGATACTTTGCCACTTCCTGTGGCGTTATCTCTTTTAACACTCAAAAGTATAATTGTAAAATAAAGTCTGGAAGTAACTATTTTTATGGACTTACGAAACGTAGTGTCCAAGCAACGTCCTTAAACCTTAAGATAAATGAAACTTAGTCGTCTCCATATTTTAAATCACTACGTAGTATTATTACGGAACAGAATTTTCGGAATGCTTTACCCTAACTTCCTAATGAGATGATCTAGACGGCCCAGTAGTCATGACAATTTGTGCAATGTAAGAAATCAGAGATGAGTTGTAAAATTACCGACGATTGTTTCTTGGACGTTGGAAACTTGTAGGCCTTACGTCTCCTGTAATTGCTTTCAACCAAGGCGGGATATCCTGATTAGCTTCTTCAAGCAACTCAACTAGACCACGGGCCAAGTTGCGGTTTTTGTCATTGAAAAAAGAAGTAGCCAGTCCAAGATTTCCAACACGACCAGTTCGGCCGATGCGATGTACATACTCTTCAATATCTGACGGAAGATCGTAATTGATAACGTGCTGTATTGTAAATGTAATAAACAATGAGGATTTAAATTTACATGTCAAAGAGACGTAGGATTTTACGCGTTATTTGTGAAACTCGGAAAGCCAAAAGGATGAGGTAGTACACATAGACTAAGTCCATTCTTAGTGGGTAACAAGCCATACCTATTGAGAATGAAACTATTATATGTTCTGAAGCACACACTAACATAACTTAAATGTGGTTGGATCGGTGGAATAACAATAGTTAAATGACGACATACTCTCGGGTAACCGTTTTTCGTTCGGCTTGGTCTAGAGAAATGTGGACTTGGAAGTGGTGTAAATCAACAGTTAGAGATTACAGATGATGGGATCAAAACCGACCACGGCGTTGTATACTGAAATAACTGATAGTTGGACAGGTGCGACAACTGCACTTTACACGCATGCAATTGTCAATTTGTACCTTCGCTACAGTTTACCCTCAAACGAGATTTTCATCATTTCAGTTGCGGATAAGCTAGTTCGACTAAGAGTAGCACACGCGAATAAGTTGACAACAGAATTTAGAAGTTTCATTGGTCGTTAAGGCGACTGACTTTTCGCTAACAAGTGGCAGGTTTGAACCACGATTCACTCATATCGGTTTGAGTAACTGGGTATTATCACTGTCTCTCACACCAATGCGTTTCAAAGTCAAGCAAACAAATCTAAATCCTTAAGTGAGTTAACAATAGCCTATCAGTGCCGATAGTGTGGTTGCCAACAGGATTTTTGCATGATGTTTGCCTAACTTCCGCACGTTTGAGTCACATGGAATATAGTCCAAGTGTGTGTCTAAATTAAGTTCAAATGTTTAGTAGACTGAGTTGTATAACTAAACTCCGCACGAGTAGAGGACATGTGAAAGCCGAAAGTACTTAATCATTTCAGTTTTTAACGTGATTATATTGGATTTTAAGTGAGCAAAGTTTGTTTTTATGGCAAGTATGTGTGGTCGCAAATGAATATGATATTGTCTCACACCGCTTTGTTTTAAAATGCTTCAGAGTCGTGGTACCCTATCAAGACTTATGATCTATTGGTCCTGTGTGGAAACAGGTACAAATACATACTAGTAGAATAGATGTGCCGATTTTCGGATCCTTTACTTCTTATACTGTTATATCGCGGGTTCGCCTAAATGAACTGGCCTTTCATAATTCAAGTTAATAAATCATAATTCGTAAGCATCTTTATACTTCGAATGTGCAGATATATTTTCCGCACAACTAAAGCACATGAATCAGTAAACTGTATGAGTTTACAAGATTTATATCTTAAATATAAATGTAATGATTGGATTCACTGAAATGTGAGAATATTTTTTGCAAATAAAACCCTCACTTAAATCGTACGATATCGAAAAGATTATAGTTTTATCGAACTTCTATCAAGAATAAATTGATATGGCGAACGTTCTTTAAGTAAAGTGGGTACACAACTTATTGGAATGCATAGTGAACGAGTTAAATATGTAATATATGACGACAAGTGCAGGATTCAACAAATAAGGGGAATACGTTTAAACAATGTAAAAACAAAAAACGAATACATAGGATTATCAAAGCGAGTTAGGTAGAAATTTACCTTGACATTTGGAATATCCAAACCACGAGCTGCGACTGCTGTTGCAACGAGCACTGGCGTTCTTCCCGAACGAAAACAAGACAACGCTAATTCTCGATCTTCCTGAGTACGATCTCCATGTATACTGGCAACTTGAAACTTCTGTGAGTATAAATAGTTTTCAAGAGCGTTTGCACCCCGTCTTGTTTCAACAAAAACTAATGTTAGTGTACCTGCTTCTGGATAATTAAACATGTAAAGAAATTATTATTTGTAAAACCTGAGTGAGCAAGCAAATCGATTAGAGTATCTCGTTTAGCATTCTCCTCAACCCAAAGTATCGTTTGCGTGATATTTTCACTCGTACTCCCAACACGTCCAACGGTCAAAAATATATAATTGCTTAAGAAATCTTTGGCTAAAATCTAAAGAAACACAATAAGAAGTTGTAAGTACCTGAATCTCATTGGGGAAAGTTGCCGAGAACATAAGCGTCTGTCTCTCGCCGGAAGGTGGGAAAGCATCTTGCTCCACAATACGACGAATCTGTGGTTCGAACCCCATGTCTAACATACGATCAGCTTCGTCAAGAACAAGGTACCTATGGGAAGTTACGCATTACTTTGAAACTCACCGACAATGGTCTAAGCCGACTCGACCCCGTTCTAAAACATCACTTAGTCGACCTGGAGTAGCAACTAACAGATTACAGCCTTCGGACAACTCCATCAACTGCGTTCTCATATCAGCACCACCGTAAAGAACACATGGTCTGATAAGAGATCTATAGGAAAACTTTCGAGCATCATCAAAAATCTGCGATGCTAATTCGCGGGTTGGAGCCAGTATAAGAGCTACAGGGAACTGTTTTCTTCGGTTGCTGTTTATCTACTTAAATAACTTGTCAAGCGTAACAAACTTACAGTGGCGCATATAGAATCACCGGGACCTTGCTTAATCATGTTGTTTAGGATTGGAATAAGGAATGCAGCAGTTTTTCCGGAACCAGTTTGTGCACATGCCATTAGGTCCCGACCTGATGCAATTATTGGTATAGCATGCTTTTGTACAGGTGTAGGACGCTCATAGTTGGCCAGTTCAACGTTGTCACGTACAATTTTATGAAGTGAAAGTTCGGTAAATGAAGATATAGTTGATGCACTGTCGTTAAAGTTTGGCCCCGTTGCATTTACAGGAATGTTGTCGTATTGGTTAAAGTTTATGCCTGCGCTAGCTTTCTTGAAAAGCTCTTGTTCTGTACGCTCGTTTCGTGGCAACTGTTGAGTCCAGTCTTCAGTGGGTGCATTCCAACTGCGTCTGGGAACATTTGACCCCAAAGTAGAATGACCACCCCGTGACTGAGTACTACAAACAATCACAGTAGAAGAAAAATATTGACATACTTCACGTTGAAGCTTGACCACCGTGAGTCAGATTGCTGCCTTTCGTTCCCAACTTTTGATCCCCTGTTACTATACGAACCACGAAAAGGGCGTCCACGAAAATTATCACCACCAGTACCACGGGAAGGGCGACTAAATTGACTAAAATCATTTACAGAGTCTGCGAGATCATTTGAAGTCCCACGATTTCGCAAATGAGGAGGCACATAAAGTTTGGCACCACCACCATCTGGACCATTTGAATGGATAGCCATAGACGAAAACTGCAATAAAATTAGTATATAAAATCCATTGTTTAAACACATAACTGTCATAGTAAGAGAACCTATTAAAAACTGCATAGGTAAGCGAACTAACAGAAACTGATTTGTTTTCTTAGGTTATTGACTTAACCTCAAATGAACTGCACACTTATTAAGAGCGATTAAAATTTTATAATGATTATCAATTTTTATACTTACGCCTGTTACTCCTCGTGGAAAGTCACCCATCAGCATTCTCCATCCAACTCTGTTCTGAGTAGTCCTTCACAGTTGCTATTCATCGATTCGATGTCTGTTTCTAATTCTCGGTACAGTGTGCTCTTCGGCCTTTCTCTTTTCCATTTCTCTTCAGGATCCTCCTTTTTTATCGATTATGCTGTACAGATAATTGGAATTGTCCACCTCTTCGAGTTTTTCCATTAAATGTGGTTGGGTCAGTGTTCTCCGTGTTGTATTTGAGGATGTTGCTTTTCCCCATGCATATGTTGAAGCCTATTGATGCAGAGGCTACTGCTACATTGGTTGTCTTCATCTGCATTCGTTGGTGTGTATGGGATGGAAGAGCTAGGTGATCTGCAAAGTCGGAATCCTTTAGTTGCATGCAAGCTGTCGATTGTATCCCATGCTTCGCGTCACATGTGGTCTTTCACAATCCAGTCAACCACCAGAAGGAAGAGAAAGGGGAGAGTAAGCAGCTTTGTCTGACTCTGGTCCTTACTTGGAATGCATTTGTCAGCTGTCCTTCATGCACGATTTTGCAGTGAGATGTTGACTATTTTCTCAGCTACCCACTCCATAATGTTGAAGAAGCTTCCATAATATTTTCCTATACACGTTGTCAAATGCTTTTTTATGATGAAGTTGATGTATGGTGACAAGTTCTATTCAAATTATTGTTCAACGATGATCTGTAGTGTGGAGTTTGGTCTGTGCACGACCGATTGTTACGGAACCCGGTTTGTTGATCTCGAAGTTGGGTGTCTACTGAATATTTTATTTCTTTTAACAACACTTAGCTGAAAACCTTTCCTGGTATTGACAGTAGTACGATTCCGCTGTAGTTCTCGCACTTGCTCAGATCTCCTTTTGTATGTAGATGAGGTATCCTTCATTTCAATCTGATGGCACTTGTTCTTCCTCATAAATCTTCCTAAATAGAACATGGAGCATGTTTTCAGTTGCTTCTACGTTTGACTTCAGTGCTTCAGTTGGTATTTTTTTACGTTCTACTACGTTCGCGCCCTTCATTTGTCTGGTGACCATCCTGACTTCTTTGGTCGTTGGTAGAGTGAAATATATTGGAAGGTTTGTGTGTGCTGCTTCGAAGTTCGGTGGATTCAATGGAATCGGCCCATTCAAGAGTTACTCAATGTGTTCTACCCCTCTATTCCTCTGTTACTGAAATTCAGTGATTGACTTGCCTTCTTTGTCAGTGACTGATCGCTCCAGTTTACCATATTTCTCTGAATTTCTTTGTTGTGTCATATAGTTTTTTTTATATTTCCTTCTATTGCAGCTTTTCCCATTGTCGTCGCTAGCTCTTCCACGTATCTCTGTTTGTCAGCTTTAATGATCCACTTCACTACCTTGTTTGCTTCTGTGTATTCAGCTTGTGCCTTCACTTTCTCTGTTATTGTTCGGCTGTTGATCATCGCTGTCTTCTCGTTCTTCCTCTCATGAACCTTGTCCAGGGTTTCCATCGAGATCCATCCCTTGTGATGATACTTTTTTTATCCCTTTCCAGTTGTCCTTCACAGTGGTTTCTCCTTCATTGAGTAGATCCTGTAAGGCTCGGAACCTGTTGTTGAGAGTTATCTCAAATTCGTTGAGTTTGTCAGTATCTCGTAGGAAGGCTGTGTTGAACGTTTGAAATGCTGTTTCCCCGATTGTCTAATGCTTCTTTGGTTTCAGTTTTATCTTGGCTACCACCGGGTGGTGATCTGAAGCTATGTCGGCACCTCCCTGGGTTCTTACGTCTTCCATTGATCTTGTGAATGTTTTACTGATGCAAATATGATCTATCTGGTTCTCTGTGGTGTGGTCCGGTGGAATCCATGTAACTTTGTGCATGCGTTTGTATGGGAATATTGTTCCGCCAATAACCAATTTATTGAATACATATAGATTTGCAAATCTCTCCCTATTCTCGTCCCTTTCTCCTAGTCCGTGTCGTCCCATAATATCTTCATAACCGTTGTTGTCCATTCCGACTTTGGCGTTTAGCTCTCCCAACAAAATTGTCAGGTCCTTTCGTGGGTACTTTACTGTGATCGATGGCAGCCTCTCGTAAAACTGATCTTTATCGTTGTCGTTGCTATCATTGGTGGGTGCATAACATTGGATAACATTGATTGTAATCCCTCTCTTTTTGTTTTGAAGGATGTTTTATTGATCCTGTGGGTCTTTGAACAACAGCAGTGCAGCTACTTGTGTGCGCAAAGTATTTTCTTCTTCGTGACCAGAGTGCAGCAGCATCTTTCCTGAATCTATCCTTTTCTTTTTTAGAACCTTCGCTGTCCAGCGAGAGTCCAATGGGTTTCGCTGATTCCGAAAACCGTCAAGTTGTATTTCCTCATTTCCGTAGTTGTTTGATGAGTCCTCCTAGTCTCCAACATTAAACGGATATTCCACGTACCGATATTGATTTTTGCTATGGGCGTTAGAAGGGACATCGGCCTCATGACTTCCGAAGAACCTCAGCTTTTATCATGAGGCGTATAATTCTTTTTTCAACTAAGAGGGCTGACTTCAAATGGTTTAATTTGTTTATTCTGGTTAGTGTATTTTTAGCCAAGTTGTTTTCTACGGGATGAGGTTGCTGACCCTAAGCCCAACCCTTCTACTTTACCTGGGCTTGGAACCAGCAGTATTCCTGAAAGATCTACAGGGAGAGCTATCAATTTTTACAGCCAACTACGAATCATGCCATTAAAAAAATTGGTCGACGCCACGTGGTTCAAATATTCTGTGGTATCCAGTACTGGGGAAAACGTCAAAAAAACTAGATATGAACATTTGAAATATAAACTTATAGTGTTTCCCATCGACTCTACATTTTCATATTTAGATTTATCTTAAACGAGACATTCTGTAAGCTCTGAGAGGTGTTGATAATTTTTTGATCGAGTCAAGTGAAATGGTCCACCAGGGTTTTAGGTACCTGAAGAGCTGCACTAGATAAAACTATGATATTCGCGTTGCGAAAAGACTGGAATCTGGTTCTTTGGAAAACCAGTATAGAGTATGTTTTTACATAGTTGTTCATGCAGCGGTACCCCACCGATTTAGCTCAAATCATAAATCAATGGATTTGCCGCCTCTAGGTCTTAGTGCCATTAACTTTCACTTAACTTTTTTATATGTTAGATGGATTAGGTCGGATAATAAGCGGTCATTGATAATTCCATAAGGTTTTTATTATCAACCGAGGATCCACTTAGGGGGTTGGAAACCCCTGACTCCGGGATCCTAAGGGAATGAATAGCGTATGAACCTATTGTTGGTCATCGGCTACCATGGGATTGCATTCCCTAACGTTATTCCACTGTCTTGTGGATTAAACCTTTAGGTTGAAGAATCCGGATGCTATACCTACACCTGAGGTTGCGGAAGTAGCAGTGGGGTCTCCGAATACTCGGAGCGGAGTCAGCTTAAGCGCAAGCTGACAAGAAGTCTACGCAACGATCGCGAATAGTGGTGGGTAGCGAAAGCAAGAGAGATGGATAAGGCAGCGGCAATAGGTAATAGCAGACAATTGTTCAGACTCGTTAAGGAAACCGGAATTAGGAACCCGACCGTTAGCGAAACAATCTCAGAGAAAGATGGACATATTATTCATTCCCAATCCAGGAGATTGGATCGATGGGCAGAACACTTTAGGGATCAGTTCAACTGGCCTTCAGCAACACTTCGGTCTCCCACGATCCCCAGTCAACCTGAATGGCAAGTTAATGTAGGTCCTCCGTCTCTTTACGAAATTGAAAAAGCCATAGGAAATCTGAAACGAGTGAGAGCAACAGGCCCTGACAGGTTTACTCCTGAGATTTTTAAGGATGGTGGTCCAGTATTAGCAATGAGATTAACCGAGGTCTTAGGTAGAATTTGGGAACTGGACGTAATCCCATCTGACTGGTCTCAATCACTGATTGTACCAGTTTATAAGAAAGGACAAAAGTCCTCTTGTGACAATCACAGAGGAATCAGTTTGACTAATATAGTGTCTAAAATATTAGCTTCAATAATACTTCGACGCCTAACCAGAGCTCGTGAAGAACAGACTAGAGAAAATCAGGCTGGTTTTCGACCTGGACGTGGTTGTATAGACCAAATATTCACACTACGTCAGGTTCTAGAACACAGACACACGTTTAGACGCCCCACAATGGTAGTATTTCTCGACCTTAAGGCGGCATTCGACTCTGTTGATCGTAAGGTTCTATGGCAGTGTTTGTCACTGAAAGGAGTACCAAAGAAGTACAATAACCTTATTCAGGCTCTCTACTCGAACACAACTGGCAGAGTGAGAGCTTATGGCGAACTGTCATCAGAATTGATTACCTCAAGTGGTGTTCGTCAGGGCTGTCCACTTTCTCCATTCTTGTTCAGCTTTGTGGTCGACGTACTTTTAGAGATAACACTCTCCTCATCTAAATTTCCAGGGGTTGAACTTCTACCGGGAGGTTCACTTGTTGACTTAGAATATGCTGATGACATAGTTTCATTTGGTGAAGATGCTGACAAAATGCAGAGTCTTTTGACCACTCTAAGCAACAATGCAAGCATGTTCGGGATGCGATTCTCTCCCTCGAAATGCAAAATGTTGCTTCAGGATTGGGTTACATCAACACCCGAACTAGTGATAGGGAGTGAAGTAGCTGAGTGTGTCGACCGGTTCACTTATTTGGGAAGTCTCATCAGCCCTTGTGGTCTGGTGTGTGACGAAATCTCAGCACGGATACAGAAGGCTCGACTAGCTTTTGCCAACTTGCGTCATTTATGGCGTAGGCGATATATCCGTCTATCAACCAAAGGACGGGTTTACTGCGCAGCAGTACGTCCCGTCCTACTTTATGGCAGTGAAACATGGCCGGTAAGAGTAGAGGATATTCGTAGGTTACTAGTATTCGATCATAGGTGTCTTCGAAACATTGCTCGTATATCATGGGACCACCAAGTAAGTAATGCAGTTATTAGAAAACGGGTACTAGGTAAGGATGGCAAATCAATTGATGAAGTAGAGGAACTTCATCAGTTGAAATGGCTAGGAATGTGCTACGCATGCCCAACGACCGACTGCCTCGACGTGCGATGTTCCATGGTGTAGGAGTAGGTTGGAAGAAAGCTAGAGGCGGCCAGACCAAAACATGACACAAGTCCATGAAGTCACTGACAAGTGGTCTGAGTCATGTTGATAGGTGTAGACTACCTGGTTGGGGACCGCGAGATGATAGCAACCGATGGTTAGAGAGACTTTGAATGACATGGCTCAAAATCGTTTGCAATGGCGCAGGTGCATCCACTCTTTGTGTTCTCCCAAATTCTAATCTTCTGAATTCTTCATGTCCCTTTTTTCCTCTTTCCAAATTTATTTCACTGAATTATACTCTTTAAATAACATCTCCAAACCCTAATCTTCCCGATCACTGCTTACACTCTTGCTACCTCTACCACAATGGGATTTGAATCGACAACTGCATCTCTGTGTTAAGGTGGTGTGGCAACTCGAACTGATGTACGTACGTACGAAGTTCTACGTTGTTATTGACTGACTGAATACTCGGAGGATGAGTCGTGCCGTATCTTTATATTGACAAAGTGAAGTCAAGCGAATAACAATACTTAGAATCTGTATGTGTGTTTCGGATACGAAGCATGCATTGATAGCGTGTGATTTCAGAGTCCTAGCTTAAGAATTCTGTTCCCATCTGACACTAGGTTTTAACATTAAAAGCTCCAAAATGCAGTTTACAGAGTGGATTCAAGAGACCAGGACTAACATTTTGCGAATTCAGATCAACACCGATGATGTGTGATAGAAATAAATGAGAAGGGTTAGTCGTAGGGATGATAGAATTATTAAGAGGTCAGGGAGGTCCATAATCAGCAAGGTGATCTCAAGTGCTGATAAAGGTATGAGAGCGGTTGTCACTTCACGGTTGCCCACATCAAGGAAGGCTATTTCTTCTTGAGTAACCTGGAGAAAAGGCTGTATTAGTGGTGGTCTTTGCATTCTGGGAGTGAGATTACCGAGCCCAAAGCATAGTTACTTGAGGTCAATCGCCTATAGCTTTTTATGAGAAGTTTTGATGTTACTTCTGCACTTCTAAAAACCTTACCGCCGGAAATGGAAATCCTTGGGGTAAGGTGAGGTGTGACACTTGCTGTCAACCTTTTCTAACCCCTTCCTCCCATCATGATAAGGCGGCATTACTGCAGATGCTGATTGCCCAAGGCAAACACCTTACTACAGTTACAACGCTCCAAAGTCGGCAGTATGATTTTACTTTTGAACCCTAAGTTGCTGCTTTTAATCTTACTGTTTTCCAACCGACCTGCCTGGCACGGTAGGACCTAAAGGAGCATGTATTTCAACCCAATATAGCTCTGTTAAGGCAAGTCCGATCACCATATCAAGATAACAAGATCAGGAATATTCTTCAATACACTTGCAATTTTACGCAAAATCCGAGGAGGTATCCCAACCCTGATCAGCTTACTCAAGGTCATCAGTATAGTGTACCTTTACTGGAAAATACTAAATTATGCAAATATCCCATCAAATACAATTTTGTGTTATAGTTCCGAACCACAGTTTTTTATGTTTGGGCTAGACATAGTATCGGCTACACAAACCGAAGTAGAGAGTAATTCGAACCTAATTATTTTTTATGCTTATTTTGAAGTGTGACAAAATCAAACTAATAAATGTTATGGTGGGTAGCTCTGAATGGAATTAGGGACAGTTTATTCATAAGCTCCGATTGGGACTGCCACGAAGAATAGATAGCCGTAATTAAATGCAGACATACTTTGACGGTGGTAATCGTATTGTTCCGAAAGCTGACGAATAGTAGGAGCTTGATCAAGACAACCAGGGTAAGGTTTACAACAGTTGACTTTTTTACTGTTTATAATCTTTTGTTCTATAGAGTAACTAAGAAAGCGATGACCAAAAGAACCATCTTACTTAAACTGATATGGCTATTGCAAAACGGCCTGTGTGTTTTCTAATAAGTTAGAACTGACGTTTTTTGTCAAAGCGGCATCTATGACGTGTACAGTAATATCTGGACGCGAGCACAGTTCATATAACCCAGTAACTAACTACATGTTCGTTTACTTGAACCTGAACCAGATTATGATAGCTATTAACAACATTCGTCTCTCAAAATAGGTAAGTGAGACCATTAGAGTCAACAACTTAGTGTCAGACTATTTTGAAAAGTCAATCAAGTTCCCCAACTGTGGCAACTTATCCGAGTTATGCTGGATGAAACATCTGTTTATTGACATGCAAACCAGATGTATTATTCGTAGTATGACATAGAAGCCGTATTCCTGAGCGCACCAGGGGGTTGGGGAAGTAAAGAGTAACCAGCATTCTCAACATCGTCCTAACAGACTGGCATAAATTATTTGAAGCATATGCCATTGATTGTTTGTCGGTATTAGTAAGAACATGGGTCAACTACTGTGAAAAATGCAATGATCTATAAACGAAAATTCAACCAAGCACATAACGATATCGTACTGCGTATTTATCTATACTATTCCTTAGTGAAAATAATATCTGCTTTATTATATACTGTAGTTGCAAAATAAGAACAAATGTGCACTTATGTTCGGAGTTGGCTAAAGTTATTCTAAATAACCAAAAACACAAACAGTGAAAAAAGTAAGCGCCTAGAAGGACTTTAAATCCACTACAATTAGTATTAGTAAAGTTCCACCTGAGACTGTTGTTGACCGATAACACTAAGCTGATATAAGTAATGAATCCAGAGTAAGTTTATTAGAAAAGGAGAGAAGCAAAGTATGAGCTGAGAATACGTTGCGGTTCAGGATATGTAGTTAAGTACTTTGATGAGATTGACTTGACACGAATAGTAATAAATAAGCACAAGAAGTTAAACCGACGGAATCCCATGTTTAGGGCGTGGTGTTTAAGGGGGGATAGTATCAAATTTAGGATGTGTTACTTTATTTATAGCTATTTACTTCGGTTATCCAAAGAACGAGCTGTACAAACTTCCGATCTTTAGTGTAGACAACCTGGTTACCATATTGCTTTAATTTTTACTTCAACCAAGTATGAATATAGTTAGATGGATGTACACGGTCAATGTATTGTTGGTTAGAAATTACGTACATGAAACAAAATCAAGTAGTGAAACTAGTATTATATCGAAATGATGTGGTCTTAAAGACAATATTTGCAAAGTAAGGAGTAGAGACTACCAGGGAAATATTCATGACACTATTCGGTAAGGTTATCTTGGGTATGCTTAGAACATCTATTCACACACCTAACACTTAATTCACAATTTTGCTCTTAATAAACTACATGTTTATCACAGAGTGGCCAAGACGTTAACCAAGTAAGACAGTTGCCTGAACTACCACAGTAAACAAGTAGTAATGAAATAAAAGACACCACTTCAGCCTAGAAACTCGCAAGGAGATCATGCAACCCTAGGTAGTGACGGAAGGATAATTTGAATAAACTTAGCATACATACTGGTGCCAGAATGAGTAGATAGGCAAGAGGGTCATTAATGGATTCTTCTCAATTATCGGAAGTATTGTAACTAGTGCATACGATTGAGGATCAAAACCATTCACATTAGAAAAACAAAACATGTAGTGTTCTGACTGTGGCCGCGGAGCAAGGAGATTCAGACAACTCCAATATGTGCTCGCCCTAGCTTATAATGTATGTCAGGAAAGGCATTTGGACTCCTAAAGTCTTACTAGTTGATTGTAACAGTTAAAAACGGTTGACATTGTTCTACAGTGTGCATTATATAGTCAGCTCCAAACAATACCTTAGTTAGAAATGCTTACTTACCTCATCTACAACAGTATCCTCATCATAACCGTAAGACATATTACGGCAAAAGTGCACACGCGATAACAAGAATAACCAGCGACCTAACTCGTGAACACTAAAACAAGTCCCGCCCAAATGTTCAATACTCTATAGATCAACGAAACTGTTCAGTTTTCAGTAGTAACGATAGGTCAATCGACTTATGTTAATCCATGAAACTTCATTACTATGAAGAGCCAATCACGCTCTTCATTTATCAAGAGAATGTGCTGATATTATGTTGTAGCGGTAAATAAATCCCCAAAATAAATAGCTCTGTAAGTTTTCAACATTGGATGCTGACCATATGTTTTAGTGGACTCATCTAGCTGAAGGCGCTCGGTCATGCATCCGCACCAGATCACGTGTGGTAACGCTGTGCTCAACATCTACCGCAATCACTAGCCAGATTAGATCAGAGAATTCCGATATATTGGTTATCGGCAAATACACTCTTCCGATCTCCTCGACTCTGTCTTTTGATTTCTCTCGGTGGGAACAAAGTATATTAGAAGGTGTTACTGGTAGAAGCGTTGTCAAACACTGAATACCTGTATCATCCTCATTGGTGAGACCGACGTGATCTGGTACACCGTCTGTTATACGTCACAGATGTGACAACGAGAGTTCGCTACCTCGTCGACACTGGCGCAGAAGTTAGCGTTCTCCCAGCGAATCCCAACGATCGGCTTCAAGAATCGGCTCTAAACTTACAGGCGGCAAACGGAAAACCGATCGCTACGTATGGCAAAAGGTACGTTTACCTTAACGTGGGTTTACGCAAACCCATTCACTGAATTTTCGTTGTTGCAGATGTTTCTATGCCAATCATTGGTATGGATATTCTAAAACACCATAATCTGATCATCGATACGCGCAAACGGAGACTAGTAGACGGAAACACTAATTTATCCGTTTGCGTAACTTCTTTTACTGGTTGAAGATTATCCCCAGTCACAATTATGCATACGATAGACCCACTTTATCAACCGCTACTCGATAAGTATCCTGGGATACCACAAACGCAACCGAAACTACCGTGCGTAACCAACAACGTTACACGTCACATCACGACCACAGGACCACCTGTATTCTCTAAAGCATGACGACTAGCCCCTTAAAGCTAAGGTTAGCGAAAAACGAATTCGATCACATGACAGACTTAGGAATCATACGACCGTCAAACAGCCCTTATGCATCTCCGTTGCACATGATCCCTAAAAAGGACAGCAACGATTGTCGTCCAACTGGTGACTATCGGCGATTGAATGCAAAAACCATTCCCGATCGTTACCCATTGCCTCATATTCACGATTTGACAGCTACCTTGAAAGGTACAACTGTCTTTTCGAAAACCGACTTTGTTAAAGCGTATAACCGAATTCCCATGGCTACTGACGACATACCGAAAACAGCTATCATAACTCCCTTCGGACTCTATGAATTTTTGCGGATGCCTTTCAGTCTAAGGAATGCTGCTCAAACATTCCAAAGATTCATAGACCACGTTTTTCGAGGTCTCAACTTCGTACATGCGTATGTTGATGACTACCTAATCGCAAGTCCGGACAGAGAATCACATCTCGAGAATCTGGATCTGGTTTTCGAACGATTACAAAAACATGGCATTACTGTAAACGTTCAGAAATGCCAATTCGGAACCGATTCGTTAGATTTCCTAGGACACACTATCGATGCTCAAGACATTCGACCCCTTAGGAACAAAGTGGCAGCCATTCTAGATTACCCAGAACCGACCACCGTCAAGCAATTACGAACGTTTAACGGCCCTGTAAGTTCCTATAGACGATTCATACCGAAATGCGCGTTAATCATAAAACCTTTTACCGACCAACTTTGTGGAAATGCGAAATCCATTAATTTGGACGACACCACACGAAAAGCGTTCTCCACAGTTAAAGAACTGATCGCTAAAGCAATAATGCTCGCACATCAGGACACCGAATCACCCATTAGTATCGCAGTAGACGCATCCGACTCGGCAATCGGAGGAGTCTTACAACAATGGCGTAACAACTGCTGGCAACCTTTGGCATTTTTCTCTAGACGGTTGCTAGACATCGAATCGAGGTACAGCATATTCGGTAGGGAACTCCTAGCTATGTATTGTGCTGTACGGCATTTTTAACACTACATTGGAGGCCGTGAATTCACTCTTTTCACGGACCATAAACCGCTCACTTTCTCGTTAAGTTCTCCTTCTGACAAGTACTCTCCCCGTGAGTGTCGACAACTGGACTACATTTCGCAGTTTACTTCAGACATTCAACACATCTCTGGAGCAAACAATATAGTCGCAGACGCCTTATCTCGAATACCTTCCTTCCAAGGAATCGACCTTCTTAAACTCGCCGAGCTTCAAAAAGAAGACACTGATCTTCAGAACGAGTTATCGTCTACAACCCTTAAACTATGCATCAAACAGTTGGGAACTGGTAAGGAAACCTTACTTTGTGACACATCTACAGGTAGGGATCTCCCAATCGTGCCGAAACATTATCGACGCAATGTCTTTAACACATTGCACAAACTTTCTCATCCAGGTGTTCGTGCAATCATCAAGCTTATAGCAGAACAGTTTTGCTGGCCTGGCATGAATAAAGACGTGAGGGAGTGGGCACGCTCCTGTGTAAGCTGCCAAAAATCTAAGGTCATCAGACACAATAAATGTCCCTTAGGCTCATTTAAAACTCCCGAAGCTCGTTTCGACCATGTTCATCTGGATTTGGTAGGACCTTAACCAGATTCAAATGCATACTCTTACCTCTTAACCTGTGTAGATCGTTTCACTCGATGGCCAGAAGCAGTACCTATCAAGGACATCACTGCTGAAACAGTGGCCCGCACCTTCGTCAAACGATGGGTAGCAAACTTCGGCTGCCCTTCAACCATCACTACAAACCGCGGACGTCAGTTTGAGTCTAAACTTTTTTGTCGTCTGACCACACTATTAGGAATCACTCGCTTCCGAACGACCGCCTACCACCCACAAGCAAACGGGTTGGTAGAACGTTTTCACCAACAAATAAATGCTTCACCATCAGCTGCAAACGTTTCACAGTGGACCGACGCTCTTCCACTCGTCTTACTAGGTATCCGCAATGCAGTGAAAGCTGACATTGGATACACTGCAGCTCAACTCGTTTATAGAACGACACTTCGACTTCGAGGAGAATTCGTGGATCCTTCACCCTCTTCAGTGAGCATGGATCTAACCTCCTACACGAACAGGCTTAAAAACGCAATGCATTCAGTTAAACCTGCTTCCACACGACCACAATCCACCGATGTTTTCGCTCAACCTGACTTACAATATGGTACACACGTTTTCGTTCGTCGAGACGCACATCGACGACCATTCGAATCAGCAAACGAAGGACCTTTCAAAGTTCTTCAACGCGAATCTAAGTACTATATAGTCGATAAGAATGGAACAAACGATAACATCAGCATCGATCGCTTAAAAGCAGTGTATTTAAAAGGAAATCATATTCACGTTGATTTCCCTTTGGTACAATCGCACAACACGACTCCTACACTCATAATTCCTCAACCAACACTAGCGATGACATTCCGAATGTGTCTGAAAATAAACTTAAAAGGACAAGTTCTGGAAGAAGAGTAAGATATTCAGAACATTTAAACGACTATTGCACGTAAAGCACTACTGGACATTTTATATTACAAAAAAACAAAACAAAAAAAATCAATTTTTAACGCTATTACGTGTACTTGAGTTTATTTTCCATTTTTTTCGCCGACATTGCGATTTTACGCACATACGAGTGTATTTCGACATGCACTTACATTTTCTTATTTCTTTTCCAGGACGGCTGGAAAAGAACGATGCAGTTTACGAGGGGCCGAAATTTTCATTGTACCTTTTCTTTTTTTACTATGTTGTACCTCGGTCCCGTATAGTAAGGAAAGACGACCAGACGCTGATAAATTTAGTAAGCTATCAGAAGAGTGTTTACCAACGACAAAATCGCTGTGTTTAAACTTCTGGCTGGCCACGTCTTGGGGTCATCACCGCCCCACTAGGGGGGAGTGATCTGTAGCAGTAAATAAATCCCCAAAATAAATAGCTCTGTAAGTTTTCAACATTGGATGCTGACCATATGTTTTAGTGGACTCATCTAGCTGAAGGCGCTCGGTCATGCATCCGCACCAGATCACGTGTGGTAACGCTGTGCTCAACATCTACCGCAATCACTAGCCAGATTAGATCAGAGAATTCCGATATATTGGTTATCGGCAAATACACTCTTCCGATCTCCTCGACTCTGTCTTTTGATTTCTCTCGGTGGGAACAAAGTATATTAGAAGGTGTTACTGGTAGAAGCGTTGTCAAACACTGAATACCTGTATCATCCTCATTGGTGAGACCGACGTGATCTGGTACACCGTCTGTTATACGTCACAGATGTGACAACGAGAGTTCGCTACCTCGTCGACACTGGCGCAGAAGTTAGCGTTCTCCCAGCAAATCCTAACGACCGGCTTCACGAATCGGCTCTAAACTTACAGGCGGCAAACGGAAAACCGATCGCTACGTATGGCAAAAGGTACGTTTACCTTAACGTGGGTTTATGCAAACCCATTCATTGAATTTTAGTTGTTGCAGATTTTTCTATGCCAATCATTGGTATGGATCTTCTACAACACCATAATTTGATCATCGATACGCGCAAACGGAGGCTAGTAGACGGAAACACTAATTTATCCGTTTGCGTAACTTCTTTTACTGGTTGAAGATTATCCCCAGTCACAATTATGCATACGATAGACCCACTTTATCAACCGCTACTCGATAAGTATCCTGGGATACCACAAACGCAACCGAAACTACCGTGCGTAACCAACAACGTTACACGTCACATCACGACCACAGGACCACCTGTATTCTCTAAAGCATGACGACTAGCCCCTTAAAGCTAAGGTTAGCGAAAAACGAATTCGATCACATGACAGACTTAGGAATCATACGACCGTCAAACAGCCCTTATGCATCTCCGTTGCACATGATCCCTAAAAAGGACAGCAACGATTGTCGTCCAACTGGTGACTAT